TTCTACAGTTTTGGTCTGATGGCAATGGCTAGTTTTCTCTTCCTTTGTTATAAGTACAAACAAGTAGAGCTATAGTCTCGACATTGTGTTGAACCCAATGAATCATTTTGCCTCGATTATAGTCAGAAAAAAACTCATGGCTGAACATATCCAGTCATTTGGACGAGTCAAGATTAGTGACAGTGAAACTGTAAATTCGCTACCATTTTTCTGCTAGTGAAACATTGCTGATATAATGCAGGGTGGAACGTGACCTTGACTCGAGTTCAAAGTCCCCAAGGATAAGATGTTTTTGGTTGGATGCATGGACAGAAAGAATATCTAAATACAAGAGGCCCACGGGCCTTATAGGTCACCTGAGCATTCTGCAACAACTTTCCAGTTATTGAATTTGATTCATGTTTTAAGCCAGATGCTATATGGCATTCACAATTTTGAAAGAGGCACCATTGATCATCATAACAATACACTTAGCAGTTGCTTAGCTTGGTTTAGTGATTTAAATATGCCCAATAATAAGTTCATAGGATCTTCATGAACGTTTCATGAACATTTCATGAATAAAATTCATGAAAAATTCAAGGAAATTCATGAATTATTCATTATCACCTCGCAGGGGTACTGATACCCATACGCAAGGTAGGGGAAAAAATGCATTCCAACTAATCAGTAATATTCAGCAATAATCAGTAATGCCCCTAACACTGTGAAATAAACCCCTGACCCTAGGTCCACACATTGCATAAATTTTAAAAAGGCACCGTTAAAATTGTCTATCAAAAAATAAATAAATGTTTTATAAATACAAAGGAGCAGATTTCAAACAATTAATTCATTTTCAGTATATAAGTAGAGCCCCACCCCCATCCCTGACCCTGGGGCCTTGAAATTCAAAATTTTGCAAGATTAGGGCCCTTGCTTATCATAACTATTTATGTAGTTCATCTGCTTCATACCCAGAGACAGAGAAGAAAATTTTCAAAGATTTAATGTATATTCACTATAAAATCAATAGAGCCCCCCCCCCCAGAACCCCTGACCCTGGGACCATAAAATTCACAATTTTGGTAGAGGCACTCTTGCTCATCATAACTATGTACTTAGTTAATTAATACCTAGGAGCAGAGAAGAAGATTTCAAAAAATTCATGTACTTTTACTATATAATCAATAGAGCCCTGCCCTAACACCAGAACCCCTGACCCTGGGACCATAAAATTCACAATTTTGGTAGAGGCACTCTTGTTCACCATAACTATGCACTTTGTTAGTGTATTTAATATCTAGGAGCAGAGAAGAAGATTTTCAAAGAAATCATGTATTTTTACAATATAATCTATAGAGCCCCCCCCCCCCCACCCCAAACTCCAGAAGCCTTGACCCAGGGACCATAAAATTATTCACAATTTTGGTAGAGGCACTCTTGCTCATCATAACTATGCACTTAGTTAGTTTATTTAATATCTAGGAGCAGAGAAGAAGATTTTCAAAGAAATCATGTATTTTTACTATATAATCTATAAAGCCCCCCCCCCCCTACCAGAACCCCTGACCCTGGGACCATAAAATTCACAATTTTGGTAGAGGCACTCTTGCTCATCATAACTATGCACTTAGTTAGTTTATTTAATTCCCAGGGGCAGAGAAGAAGATTTTCAAAGAAATCATGTATTTTCACTGTATATAATCAATAGAGCCCCGCCCTAACACCAGAACCCCTGACCCTGGGGCCATAAAATTCACAATTTTGGTAAAAGCACTCTTGCTTATCATAACTAACTACTTAGTTGGTTTATTTAATACCCAGGAGCAGAGAAGAAGATTTTCAAAGAAATAATGCATTTTCACTACCTAGTTATTTAGCCCTGCCCTAGCACTACAACCCCTGACCCCAGGGCCATGAATTTCACAATTTTGGTAGAGGACTCAATGCTGATTACAATCATGCAAACAGTTTGACTGCTTGATGTCCAGGAGTAAAGAAGAAGATTTTTAAAGATTGCATTAATTGTAGTGGTTTTGGCCCCACCCCTCAGGCCCCAGGGGGGCAGGGATCATGAAATTCACAATTTTTGTTCCCCTTTACCCATAGATGCTTTGTGCCAAATTTGGTTGAAATTGGTTCAGTGGTTGCAGAGAAGAAGCTGAAAATGTTCAAAAGTTTACGAACGACGTACGACGTACGACGAACGACAACGGACGAAAACGGATAGCAATAGGTCACCTGAGTTTACTCAGGTGACCTAAAAATGTTTGAAATTTTCCAGACGGTAACACATGGATAATATTTTTATAACGAGAGCTAGTCATTGCTTAGATCAAGGTCATTTGGAGAGTTCAAGGTCACTTGGAAAGTTCAAGGTCACATATATTCCTTTATAGTCTTTTTCCTAGCTAAACATTGCAAGTTGCTTCTCTTAAAAGGTTTAAATTTTCACTTGTAGAACTTTAGAATGTGGCTTGACCTAGACTCAAGGTTACGTCTTCTTATCCGTAGCTCCAACGGAAGACCTATTCGTTGCTTTGCAACGAGCTCGGCTCTAGTTTTTGTTGATATTTATGAGAATTAAAAAAAACAGGCGCGGATCTAGAACATTTTTCCAAGAGGGTCTCTCATGTTAAAAAAATCCAACCCAGAAATTATAATTGAAATGAAATATAAATGATTGATTGGCGTTTTCTACGTGGATGGTCCAAGGTCAGTTTTAGTTCGTTTAGTTTATACATTAACTCATGACTGTACAAATTTTAAATGCCCCCACCCACCCCCAAGACCTTTGCAGGTGAAAAATTATAACACAAAGATATACATCTTTATGAGGAAGTTTTTAACTATACAACACAGAATATAATGGAAAATATAAATTTATTTTCAAAACATCTTTATCTGCGAAATGTTACTTCTTTAAAGATAAAAACAGAAAATAGTCATTTTTTTACCTATTTCAAATAAGAAAATAAAAATAAAGAATGTACTATACATTATCAGTTGAATATTACATAAATTAAAACATAATGGTCATTTAGTCAATTTCATTTTACCCTGAAGGATGACTTCTTGGAAAAAATGCCCCGGATCCGCGCCTGTTTTTTTTTCTTCTTCATTTTGAAAATTCATATAAATATCAATATAAATATAAAATTTATTTAAATATGTGTGGCAGTTTGGCAGTAAGCAGCTGACAGTTGGCAGTAAGCAGTCAGCAGTTGGCAGTAAGCAGTTGGCTGTCGTATATGGCATTCCATAGTCTAGCGATAAACTGCACGGTTGTTCAATTGGTTGTAAGAAGGGGCATGATATCTTTATTTATAAGTGTGAGTGACACAATATTGCAGGCCAGATTTTTCACAAATATTTATAGAAAGAATCATATAAACATGTTTTGAATGCTGTTAGAATTAGATGTCATATTTCCTGTTTCCTGCTAAAAACATGAATATTAATTGAAGTTGCAGCATTTCATTAAAAAAATTAAAAAAAAAAAACACTTTTTCGGGTAAAAGGTAATTTGAGACACATTTTTCCGTAAGAAGTACTTTGCATTCTTTTGATTTTTTATTTTTTGATAGTTTATAAGAAAGTAAATTTAAGTTAAATTTGAAAAAAAAACAGTTAAAATAACTGCCTTTAAATTTATATGGTTGCAGAAAATGGCTATTTTACTTGCGAAAATTAATAGAGCAAAAATGACTGGGTGTGAAATAGTAAAGCAACGAAACGAACCCGGTACTTGCAAGCGTCAAAACCACATTGATTTTTGATAGGGAGCGGTATACTCAAAAAATAAAAAATGTCACGAACAGGATAAAAACGTTTTTTATACCGTTGATTCTCTAATCTCAAGAAAAAATATGCAAGGTATGATATATTCTGAAGTCTCCGTTTGATAACGAAGTTTAAATCGTTTCAGAAGTCTAGTCGATTCTCTTTATTGTAAACCATCCAGAGGTCTGGGAATGGAATACTCGAAAGTCTCTGGTTTTATCATACATCTTTAACCTCAACCAGAAGTACATGTTGCTTAAAAAATGTCTTACTTTATATCGAGGTGATTTTTGAGGAATACATGAGTGGTTTACAATAAAGAGAATCGACCATAGACTTCTGAAACGATTTAATTATCCAGGAAAAAGTCTCTCGAAGCGAACAATACCAATTTAAACAATCTAGTAGGTTAATGATTGATATATTTAAAAAATACGAAATTGAAATCATTATGAGGGTTCCTGAAATTGAGTTTGGTACCTTGTGGTAAAAATAATAAGGGGTGCCCCGTATACGAAACAAGTGCCTGTGTCAAGATGAAGAGAGAGAGAAAGTAAAAATAATATCCATATGAATTGTTTTTGACAGAGGATTATCAATAGAATATGTATGAATGAGGTCATGGTGAAGAGAATTCCTTATGGAGAATGCTATCATAGGTCAGACTCAGAGGTTATGACACGGCCCGTTATGACAAGATTTTTTAAATGTAGGTTCAGCAAGCAGATGGTAGAGGTTATGACAAGATGCAATTTACATGATCAATTTTGCATACTGTGTAATTCTACAAGACTAGTTGTAAACAACGTATACATAGATTCGCAAGTACACATAGGTGAGAACTTGTAGCTTTTTAAACTCAAACTACAGAATATATATTTTTCATCAATTGTTTGATATGAAGTTGAGAATTTATTATGTAAATCTAATGTATTTTTTTTTTATTTCAAGTCATAGATTTATTTAATACAAATGGATTGTAAAGTGTACTGCTGAAATGACATTATATGCATACTGGTACACATGCAGTTTGTTAACTTAAATTAAACAGAACACAATGATATTTACGCATACCTGTAAAATCACTGCTAGGTTTACAGGTACAAGTAGACGTACACGGTCAAAAAGCTTAATACCTGTATATTATTGTCTTACATGTGATTGTGTGTTGATTTTAGTTTTTAGAATGTAGGATCAGATATTGATGTCTTAATTATGTTTGATTATAGATTACAGGGTCAGACATTGATGCCTCGTTTTCTTCCTCCTTCTGTACGGAGCTGGATGAACAGATGCTGGTTGCCATGGAGACACTGGACAGGCCTCAAAGGTCACAGAAAGGTCAGCAGAAGATTCACATATAGATTACAGAAATTGTCAATATTTAATATTGAAATGAAATTAATAACTACTGTAACAGTAAAACTTGACTAATCCAGATGTTGTATAGCCTGAAATCTTGCTAAATCATGTTAATACTAGGGATGTCAATTTTTACTCGGACAGCTTAGTCGAACAGTCAGATGCTTTAGTCGAACGATAGTCGAATATTCGTTTAATTTTAATAATTTTTCATATCATTTTCACAGATTAACTTTTACAGACTAGTTTACAACATTTAACCTACGCTATCACCATTATACAACGAATTTCTGAATTGTAAACATGTACACATGTACGTAGTAAAATAAAAACTGTACATCAATATGTATCCAATGTATTTAATTTCAAAATTAATATATTATAGCTGCACATTTTATCTAAATGCAGGATATCAAACGCTCGTATTTATTCTTTCTTTACATAGCGGTAGTACATGTACCCCATAATTGAAGCCAATTTCTATGTGTCTGTCAATGATCTTTGAAGGTAAACAATTAAAGCGTGTCTCTTATAAAAACATTGAGAGGGCTAGAGCTTGGGATAAATTTTAATTCTGAAATTTTGTGCAAACAGTCAATGATTGTATGAAATTAATATCAGAAAAGGAAAACACGGTTTAATTACTCTCATAACGGGCCCCAATTTACATGTATTTACAATTTTGTAGTAGCTGTTTAATTCATATTCTTTCTGAATAGTTGTACATGTATCACGTCGGATCTTAGTTTGTATCTACAATATTAAACAATTTCCCTCTCCATTTAAAACAGTAAGAGGTAGACAATCATTAATAAACATGTTTGATTTTCTTTCCCAATCTGCTTTTTTTTGTCATTATTGTGGAGAACTTACTTTAGGAAAGTTTCATTTGAAGACTATGTTTGACTGATATTCGGCATATAATACATCATGTTTGATGTTACACTGCAGAATACAAGTTCTGTTTCACATAAACTTGATAACACTGTTTACCTTTTTTAAGCTATACCAAAACTGTAGATTTTGAAGATTTGTTTGCCGAACATACATCGACGTACAAATAATTTCCTTTGAACAGTTATAGCATACCCTCAATTTTACATACGAAAATATTGATCTGTAAATAAATGAAATGGGCAAACATAAGTTTATTGCCTTGAATTCAAAATTACTTTGATGAAACACATTTTAACGAATAACCGACTAAAGAAATTTTAGTCGATAGTCGACATGATCGAACGATAGACGAGTACTCGAATATTCGTTGACATCCCTAGTTTATACCATGTGGACTTTAAGTTGATTTCACTAAATTCATTTGTTTGAAATGTTGTCTAATATGAGACATTGCCTAATTCAGCCAATTTCTTTGGAACCAGTGGTACACAGATTAACAAGTCTTACTGCGTTTAAATGGGCTCCTTGGGATTGGGAATTTAATAACATTTTATTGCTCATAGGGAAATTTTATTGCATAATGTTTTCAAGAGAAAAACACAATGAATAGAATGGATCTTTTACTAAATTAACTATTCAGAACTGTTAATTAGAGAATAGATGAATTAATATACTATAAACGAATTACATTTGGCTGTGTATTCTTTTTAGCGGCATTGGCGGAACACAGCAACTGCTAAATCAAATACAAAGCTAAATGTCTTGCACGTATACACATAAATAAAAATATGAAGAAATGCGCTAAATCAAATTTACACTAACTTTTCAAACATCAATTTCCGCCAAATATTGTACATGCTAAATATAATACATTTACAGTATTAAAGTTTCTGCAAAGTTTCTTAAAACTTTGTTTATTTCCATTCAGATTTCCAAAACCTGGCCATGTTTTTTTACCAGAACTTTGAACAAATTAACTTTTTGAATTCATTTTTGTGAAAAAGGAATTTTGCTGTTGAGAATGAGGCCTATATTTTGCCCTGCTTAAGGGAAGTGGAAAATCCGTTTGAAGTTATTTATTACACTTATTCATGAGAAATTATCATTCATTACTGATTGGTTAATTCTGTGTTGACCTCACATTTCAGCCAATAAGATCAGAGCTGTATACTGATTGGTTAATTTGTCCTCACATTTCAGCCAATAAGATCAGAGCTGGTCAGCTGACATCAACACCAGGATGTGTGACCCCGTTACCAAGACGACAGTCCCAGCTGATGAAGTCCCTGTTCACCCTCCAGAGTCCCCTAAATGACAGCTTCCTCTCCCCCTTCCCCTCCCAGAACAAATCCTCCATTACAAAGAAAGGGGAGGAAAACCTGACCCCCGCCACAGCAGATAGCTCTGTTAGACTCAGTAGAGGGGGAAAGCCCAACAGAAAGAAACCAAGAAATGTATTAAATGAAATTGTCAATGAAAAAGTAAAGGAAGGTGGAGGGGGTGTAGAGGGAGAGAGGAATGTGATTGACCTTGATGTGATAGGTCAAAGGTCAAGGACAGAAGAAAATACTGGTAATATGAGTTCTGAAACACAGGAAAGGGTTGCTGAAAATCAAGAGATGACGGAAAATGCTGATTATCATACTGGTGAGTGTGACGATTTACTGTAGACAAACTTTTTTCCATGGGGTCATAATTTCGCGGAATCTCAATTTCTGTTTAATCCGCGGGTATAAAATTATTTGTATTTTGTAGTTTCTCACTATATGCCTTACATTTATATTAAGTAAATTTCTGCTGAAAATTTGTGACCGCGTACATAGCTTAAATTAATACCATGTGGAAAAAAGTACTTCTACAGTATTCAAATCTATGACAATAAATGTGAGCCAATTTTTAAGAGTTGATGTAAGTTTTATACATGAAAATTTCTAAGGCTGAAAATGAAAATCAATTATTTTTTGATTGTCAAATTTTAAATACACTAACATAGAATGGCAGTTAGTGTCTCAAATGTTTAATAAATGAAAGAACTAGTCTATATAGAATATCATGTAGACATTAGAAGCTAAATAGTTGATGTTTAATGAGGGAAATAAATACATATTATACAGACATTACAAACATTAAGTACGTAGTTCACATATATGTTCAATGTCTACATTTCTTTTATACAGATGGAGGTTTAACAGAAGACAAGCTGTTATTAAGTAACTGGGGACTTCCTGACCCTGTATTAAAACAGTACACAGATAAAGGGATCACCTCAATGTTTTCCTGGCAAGCAGAATGTCTGTGTTTACCCGGGGTTCTAGGTGAGTGAAATTGTAATGAATTATGGATATTACTCAATCAATATGGATATTACTCATAACCACTAACATTGTTTTGAGTAATCTAGGCATAGAAAAAAAGATAGTTTCTGCTTTCCCAATCGATGATGATTTGTAGTGGCAACATTATTTTTTTAAAAATGCCTTTAAGAATACCAGTATATAAAATTTCAGTTTTTGTCACTTGCATGAAAATTTCATTAATAAAATTTAATTAATTTGTCAAAATGAAATATATGGAGATACACAAAATCCAAGCTCAAAAGTCCATTCAGGAGAATCTGAGTAAACACGGACCACTAAAAATCAGTGGTGGGATCAGGTGCCATGATAGAGTGAGCATCCCCTTCCATGTGCTCCTTGTCATGATCAGATATTATTACTCAGCAGAGTTGTCTTTCTTGATTGTATTGTCATTGTTTTATGTTTATTGTGGGAGGTAACCTGGTATACTCAGCCCCCCAACTATTGTTCTGCAGAGTTATCTATCTTTATTATTTCTGTGTTATTCTAGGGGGAGGTAACCTGGTATACTCAGCCCCCACTGTTATTCTGCAGAGTTATCCATCTTTTATATTTCTGTGTAATTCTAGGGGGAGGTAACCTGGTATACTCGGCCCCCACTGTTATTCTGCAGAGTTATCTATCTTTTTTATTTCTGTGTTATTCTAGGGGGAGGTAACCTGGTATACTCGGCCCCCACTAGTGCTGGTAAAACAATGGTGGCAGAACTCCTGGTCCTGAAGCGAGTCCTAGAAACAAAGAAGAAAGCCATCTTTATCCTACCTTTTGTGTCTGTGGCCAGAGAGAAGATGTTCTATTTACAAGTAAGTTGTTCCTGACATTCATATCGACAGGTAACTAGGTCAGCTGCTAATTTTTTTTTTTACAAGTAGGTTATACTGTAGATTCCTTATTTTTTGCCAGTACTTACTATCCCAAAATGGCTATTAGAAGTCAAATCGTGAAAAAAAATTATTTCTGAGAAGACTGTTGATCAAGACATTTTACTTGGATTTAATCAACCCAAAAATTAAATCGAGTACTTTTGTTTTGCTAATGGTGCTTCTCACAAAATTTATGCTGTAAAAAATTCATTGCATAATATGTTTTACGGTGTGACCTTTGAGGCGAGCACAGTCCTATACACAGCTTTGAATCGTTGAACGTCAAACTGCACTAGACACATTGTAGACTGGGATGTCACATGACGTCAGAATTTACGGAGACAGCCGAGCATCTGGTTAAAAAAGACGACAAGTCTTGTTCAGTATTAAATGAAATACATTGTACAGTAGATGAAAATATTTTTTGTTACTTTTAAGCTTTGTGGAAATTAAGAAAAGTAAACATATCTTGGGAAAGAATATTTATTCTTGGTCTTTTGTATGTTTTAAAATAAATACGGATGGAACATTTGGAGTGAGGGAATTTTGGGAATGTTGCACAGGAAAATTTGGCTGACGTTATACAGGTTTCGTTCCAAATTTCCTCTGTTCTTACACGTTAGTCTGTAGAGCTCGCTTCGCTGCGCTCGCTTTAAGAGCAAATTTACAGTAATTCCTCTATGTGTATGTAGGTCTCTATCCTTAGAATTCTCTACTAAATCTTTTCATTGTTTGTTTACAGCAGTTGTTCCAGGATGTAGGTGTCGTAGTGAGCGGGTTTATGGGGAGTTACTCTGAATCATTTTATTGTTCATTTACAGCAGCTGTTCCAGGATGTAGGTGTCGTAGTGAGCGGGTTTATGGGGAGTTACTCTGAATCATTTTATTGTTCGTTTACAGCACTGTTCCAGGATGTAGGTGTCGTAGTGAGCGGGTTTATGGGGAGTTACTATTGTTCGTTTACAGCAGTTGTTCCAGGATGTAGGGGTGGTAGTGAGCGGGTTTATGGGGAGTTACTCTGAATCATTTTATTGTTCGTTTACAGCAGCTGTTCCAGGATGTGGGTGTCGTAGTGAGCGAGTTTATGGGGAGTTACACTAAATCTTTTTATTGTTTGTTTACAGTGAGTTGTTTTATGGGGAATTACACTAAATCTTTCCATTTTTTGTTTACAGCAGTTGTTCCAGGATGTGGGGGTGGTAGTGAGCGGGTTTATGGGGAGTTACTCTGAATCATTTTATTGTTTCTTTACAGCAGCTGTTCCAGGATGTTGGGTGTCGTAGTGAGGGGGTTTATAGGAAGTTACTCTGAATCATTTTATTGTTTGTTTACAGTGAGCGGGTTTATAGGGAGTTACACTAAATCTTTCCATTTTTTGTTTACAGCAGTTGTTCCAGGATAGTGAGCGGTGTACTCTGAATCATTTTATTGTTCGTTTACAGCAGCTGTTCCAGGATGTGGGTGTCGTAGTGAGCGAGTTTATGGGGAGTTACACTAAATCTTTTCATTTTTTGTTTACAGCAGCTGTTCCAGGATGTGGGTGTGGTAGTGAGCGGGTTTATGGGGAGTTACTCCCCTCCTGGGGGGCTCAGTCAGGTGGACGTAGCGGTGTGTACCATAGAGAAGGAAACATGTTGAAAATTATGATGGAGGAAAACAGCATCAAAAGCTAGGTAAGGTAATACAACATCAACAAGATTTTAGGTGTTATAAATTTTTGATAGGTCTGTAATACAACATAACAAGTAGGTCTGTAATACAAAAAAACAAGCTATTTGTTAAGCATTTAAGTCTGTTGTCAAAATTCAACGAGCTTCTGTTGTCAAAGTCTCATATATTTGTCAAAAAAATACAGTCTAACAATTTTTCTTTTGTCAAAACATCTCAACAAGCAAGGTATGTTTATCAGTCTCAACAGGGCTAGGTTGTTGTCATGGATAGCCTCAACAAGGTCTGTTTTCCCTGTTTCAACAAGCTTTGTCAAATGTCTCAACAAGCTAAAGTTGTCATACAGTCTCAACAAATTGGTCTGTTGTCATACAGTCTCAAAGGGGTCTGTTTTATACAGTCTCAACTTTCATACAGTCTCAACAAGCTTTCAGTTGTCCATACAGTCTCAACAAGCTTCTGTTGTCAATGATAAAGCTAGGTCTGTTGTCATACAGTCTCAACAAGCTAGGTCTGTTGTCATACAGTCTCAACGAGCTAGGTCTGTTGTCATACAGTCTCAACGAGCTAGGTCTGTTTTTTTAAATATGCAGGTCATTTTCTGAGTCTCAACAATTTGTTGTAAAAGCCTCAAATATAAATTGGTGTTTAAGATTTGGAAAGTTCAACTCATGTTAAGAGGGCTGGGTGGTTCAGGTTGGGGCCATTTTTAGAGCTAGGTCTGTTGTCATAATTCAACAGCTATATATTCAACAAGAAAGGTCTGTTGTCATACAGTCTCATAGGTCTGTTGTCATACAGATATAAATAGGTCTGTTGTTTCAACAAGATATAAATTGGTGTTTAAGATTTGGAAAGTTCAACTCATGTTAAGAGGGCTGGGTGGTTCAGGTTGGGGCCATTTTCAGACCACTTTGATCTCCTTTAGAAGAAGAGCTTCTTGGAAATATATATACCCGGTATACAAAAAATGATCAAATTTTAAAACTTTTTTTCTTTGGCGAATGATAGTTGACATCTTAAAAGATATTATATCTGATGGTTAATTTGTTGACTACCCAGCCTCTTAAGTTTGACTCCACATCTAGAATCAAAATTATTTCATTTAAATAAATTTTTCCTCACCTGTCCACCAGGTATAATAGTGGTGGACGAGTTACACCTTGTAGGAGACCAACACAGGGGCTACCTGCTAGAACTGATGCTCACCAAGATCCGATTCCTCAGTCAGAAAAAGTCAACAAAAACAACCGACACTGAGGATTCTGGGTAATGAACATGGAGTTTTTTTGTCAATTGTCTACTAAATGGTAGAGATAAAGTACACTAGTATATATTGACTTTTTAATGCCACCATTTTTCAGTACTGTTCAATATTTTTTTAAAGAATTTTTTATGATATTTCCTTTTCTCTTTAAAGCTCTACAGAAGGAGTCCAGATTGTAGGTATGAGTGCCACCCTACCTAACCTTGACCTTCTATCTCACTGGCTGGACGCCACGCTCTACCGCACAGACTACCGCCCCGTACCTCTCACGGAGTGTGTCAAACTGGGGGCAGACATCTTTGATTCCAGTCTACAGAAAATTAGGGAGGTGGATCTTAGAGTGGTGTGTAAGGGGGATACAGATAACGTGTTTCTGCTTTGCTTAGAAACATTGGGTGGGGGACACTCAGTGCTTATTTTCTGTCCAACAAAGAACTGGTGTGAGAAGTTGGCAGAGACGATTGCCAGGGAGTTTTACAACATTCTGAAGAAAGGTGAGAATGAAAGAAAAAGCATGTTTTTCCAAGTTTATGTTGTTTTAGTGGGGAATAATGTATGTGTCTCACCTTTTTTTTTGATTTTCAGGGAGAGGGCTACATCCTTAGTTATCTAAGGTCTAATGGCAAGCTGTGGGAGTGATTTACTCCCGCACGGATTTCGGCTCAAATTAACAGTAAATGGCTATTTTATTAACATTTCTTAATTGTCCAAATAAGTAGTCATCCAAGACGTAAACCAATGCAAAAATTTCACGATCCCTATATTGCTTATTTTTCATGTATGTCAACATTTACAACTCGAATTTATCCGCCATGTTTACTGACCTTGATAGATTGTATTTTGGGACAGCCAATGAGGGGTTTAGGTTCTATAGGAGCTCTTTTTGGAATTCCTTATTTTAAACATAAATATCGCTGCTTGCATAAAAATAGCACTTAAAATGGTTTTATATACCTATGTTTTTGTGATGAAATTCAGCACATACATTTAATATATATTTACATTCAGTATAATTTTCCTTATAAAATCCATTAGAAATCCACGACGTTCAAATTTCAATAACACACGCGAAACCTTGTCACCGCGCGTTAGAATACACAGTAGGAACTATATGCATTTTCAATACTCTAGAAACACCAACATGTACAATGTTTTATTTCAATTAAACGAAAAACTACAACCCTGAAAAATTAATGTAGAATTTAACGTAATGTGAATTAAGGGGTAAATGTAAAGAATTAATTTGGCATATTTTTAATCGCAATGTTTGTTTGCGTAATTTAACTTTGCAACGTCACTTAACGTCATCTGACGTCACAAACGGCTCTTACGTCTATTAACCACGTTAGGTTTGAACCACTAAATTTACATTACATGTTAGCGAGAAAAGCAATTATGATTAGAGAATGACATTTGAATTCATATTTTTGGCAAGTTAAGGTCCTACAACACACCTAAACCACAAATTTATCATACCGCGCTAACGCGCGGTATTCAATTTCTTGGCACGGCCGTGTTATCATCAAGACAGCCAAAATTATGAATTCAATGCTTAATTAAACACCGATAATTGCTTTATTCAGTTGTTCTAAATTTCAAGCGAAAGTCTCATTACATCACGCGTGAACTGTCATGGCTGCTGAAGAAAACTACCAGGAACATGCAGAGTTATTTTACAAGTTTTTTCGCATTTAACGGGGTCTACTGTTGACAGTGAATAAAAAATTTTTATGAGAAGTTAGTTGAATGTAAAAATTTTATTTTGCCTGCAATCGCTCCTAAAAAAAAAATATTTGCACCATTAAAGATGGAAATTTAGCCCTCTGTTAATCAATTTAAAAAATTGGAGAGGGCTACATTATTGCAGCTAATGTTGTTTGTGTGGGGAGGTATGTCTCTCAGACTGTCTTTTCAATGGGTCAAAGGTACAATCTATAGGTTATTATAGGATTAAACGTTCTTTTTGAAAAATTTATCGATGTGTAAACTCTTGACATTTTACTCACAAACTAAATAAAAGTGCGAAGCACATTTATGTTATTTGTATAAAATGTCTACACATATATTTTTCAAAAAATAATTCTTATAATTCCAATCTCGAATTTTAAAAAATATTTAAATTATTTCTCTTTGAGGCCTCCATACAATCCGTTAATCTGGACGGCGTAGGAATACATTTTACCGTAAAGGAATGTAATTCAGAAATTTCTGAGTTACAAAACTTAACATTGTCAAAACAATCTTTAAATAAACTTATAACTTGAAATGCTGTTTAAGTCAACCAAATATCGTAATTACATTAACTGTCATATAGTTCGTTTTGACCATGGCCATTTGACATAAACAACAACTTCAAAACGAAACTTGTGTAAGATTTCAATTTGCACTTGTATATAAATTCAACTGATAACAATATAGAAAGGTTATATGAATTTGATGCTAATAGGGCAAGAGTTTGTTTAATTTCTTTTCCTGTCAAAACAATACAGACTGAGGCAATTTTCTACGTATGAACGTTGAGACAGCCTGTTTTTAAAATTCACACTTCTGATCGGACAGTGACATAAACATTTTCACGGCTTCAGTTAGGCAGTCTAGTATGTTGCCAGTTTTGTTTTAACCTTTTAAAGTTTCTTGTATTCATTATTTAGCCAGAACAGACCCAGAAATAACTGCTTTCATTGTTTATACGAGCAGTGTCATCTGAAAGTAGTTCTGATTGAAAGAATTTATCGATGTTTCTGGAACGTGTTCTCCTCCAATCAAAACACAGGAAATCAATAGATAAAATGAAGATTGGAATTATTAAGGTTTAACTTTTGATAAATTCAGATCTACTTTGTAAATTCTTCTTTACTCTGATTAGTTCATGTTTACATAGTGATGATTTCTATACATGGTCAGGTCCTGAGACAGACTGTTCTTCCCCTCTACCCCTGAACAGAGCCTCCCTGATGGAGGTCGTAGAACAACTGAGGAGGACTCCTGTGGGGTTAGACTCTACCCTGGGGAAGACTGTGCCGTACGGGGTGGCATATCATCACGCAGGTATTGTGATTGTCAGTGAGGCATGTTTTATATCAGATTGTCTCCATCAAGAATTGAAAGAGTGTTACAAATATTTTGCCAATTTTGGTTATTGTTTTAAGAAACTTAACGATGAAGACTACAGCAATTATCAGTATTTATAAGTAACAGCTAAAACTTGTCAGCAAAACCGAAAATGATATCATTAAATACCAGTATTTATCAGCAAGGACAGCACAGCATCAGTAATAATCCAACATTTTCAGTAATATTCATGATTCATGGCACTTTTTTCTTTTGACTAGCATAATAATCATATTTCAGATCCATTTCTGCCATATATTTGTGACTTGATCTTGCAGGTTTGATTTTGCAGGTTTTTTGATGAAGAGACATTTGATTTCAGACAGGGGTCAGTAAGGTCCTATATTGATTAGACTCTTCCGGATCTTCTAGCCGTGTCATCAGGACCCCCATCTTCCACGGCAAAACCATAGACTTCCTGACTTACAAGCAGATGATTGGTCGAGCTGGGAGAAAGGGGGTGGATACACAGGGTCAGTTATTTTAATATTGATTGATGATTTTGGCTAATTTTTTTTTTGTAAAATTGCTTAATTTTTTTAAAATGTAGAGCTCTCCAGAACAACTTAGCCATTGTTAACCAAAGTTTAAGAAAAATGAGTCTCATGGTCTCTAATTTTTTTCAATAAAATGTATAGAGAGCTAATAGGGTTTTTTTTCCTTCAAAATTTCTTTATCCCATTGAGAGAAACATGAATATATATTTTATATCAACTTTATAGTGATTAACCTCTTAACAAATATCATATATTTAAGTTTCATAGGAGTTATAAATTATATCTATTGATAACACAGTGTTCAAAATGCATAAACCATTATGGAAAAAAAAATACATGAAGTGTACACAAAGATAAACATCCTCTTTTAAGTTTAACTTAACATTGTTAACTCATACATGTACATGACAGAGAATCTTTTTTAGAGTTTTGAAATTGACATAAGGTTATACACGCTATGGTATATAATGTTCAACTTATATTGTATATCATAACCACCAGTGTTTTACAGTTTGTTTAATTTCATATTAATTCTCTGCTAAGGGGCAATTATTAGGGCCCCGCAAGGATTTGCGGGTGCCCTATAGTAATCACTTTGTCTGTCTGTCCGTCTGTCTGTCCGTCTGTCAATCTGATTGGCTACAAATTTTCTGTTGTTTTCTAATAACTTTTTTTATGGTTGCCCAAAAGTTTATAATTTGGTATGAGTTCAATAGGCAAAATACATATTTTGATGCTAAGTAATTCCTTATGTCTTCTAGTTTGAAGCTTTTCATTCCTTAACTATGATGAACTAGCAACTTTTTTTATGTTGCCCAATTAAGATCAAATTTGGTACAGTATTTCACAAGGCAAAAATACATATTTTGATGCTAAGTTTGGTTTTTATGTCTTTTGGACTGAAGGTTTAGATTCCTTAACATATATAAGAATGCATATCCAGAGATAACTGCTGAGTTGTTTCAGTAAACTGAATACTGGTCTAAAGCACATGGGATTAATTAGCTTTCCTCCTGAAGAAAATGTAAATTATCTTTAATATCAATTGAGTTAATGCCACCTCTGTCTGCAAATGAAGTTTTAAAGTTAAATCAATTTGGAATGTTATGAACACTCTGAAATGTATTTAAATATATTTTTTTATTATTTATTTTTGTTTGAAAGTTATGATTTCATTGAATAAAGGTCAATAGATTGAAGATTTTTTGCGTTTACCAGGGTACTTTTTTCTCACTTTTTGCATTTTTCTAAATATATTAGTTCAAGAACTTTTATTTTATGTAGCTTATTTTATCATTAATACTTTCTTATTGTAAATTTAGAAGAAAATGATAGAGAGGTGACATTAATCCCTTGGGATTAATTATCTAGCATGCTGCAGAAAATTTAGTAGGCTTTTCTTTATCTGTCACTTTAAGATTAATGAAAACCTTTTGCAACGCACGTTTGTTTGAACTTAATAAGTTAAATCATACCTTCATATATTTGCATTCATTGAAGGCTGGCATTTTATATAACACAAGATTCATAATTTTTGAATGACATTCATGTTTTCTTCTTTACTGCCTATATGTAAATGCAAGGATTTATTTTCAGGTTTTTGAATATTCAGGAATTATCTTGAAATTTTAAGAATACAGTTGCATGTTGCACTTTCTTTGATATTTATTAATCTTTTGTACCTGCACCCTTTTAATTCTTTCCCATGTTTTGCTTGGTCATTTTCCTTTATACAATAATAATATTATTATAAAAATGATCACAAAAAAAAATATACGTTTATTGACTGAGTTTGAGGGCAACATGCGTATTTACCCAAGAAACTGTCTGCCTGAGGCTTATATAAAAGACAGTGGCATCAGGGTGACATGCTATCTTTAGATTGTCAATTAGTTATTATTTCATATTATTTTACATTTTTTGACATTTGTATTTTGTACTAAATTATATTCCGTAAAATTAAAATATACACGATGCATTTTGGTATAATACTTTCCTACACACGTGGTACAATTTTAAAGATTGAAATAAACACATTATTCCCACGTGTGCTCTGTAATTTCTCTCTCTGTCAAAATAATAAAATGATAATAACAAGCTCTGCTTCTATAGTCTCTTTTGTGGTAGCTAAAGAATGATATATTCAAATTTCTTTATCCCATTTTTTCGATACCATAAAAGTCATTCATTATTTTATTTCTACTATATTGATTAACAAATATCATACAAGTGACATAGGAGTTATAAATTATATCAGTGATAAGGTCAAAATGCATAAACCATGAGAAAAAATTTCTTCTTAATACAATCTTGAACATAAAAGTTTTAACTTATATAAGAGTGTAAGTATACATGATATAATACAAATTTTTAATAGTTTTGAAATTGACATTCAGTGTAAGGTTATAAACCAATCAATATAATGTTCAACTGATTCTGTATATCATCTCCACCAGTATTTTACAGTTTGTTTAATTCAATTTTCTTTATGCCTAGAGGCAATTATTTAAAACCTTTTATTGTAAAAATGATCATAAAGAAACAACACAGTTTATTCCATACCAATGTTATTCCAATGAAAATGTTTGTATACAATTTTTTACACATTGTTTCTTCCATAATTACTTCAATTGGTCATGATTAAAACAAACATGGTATTTATTTATTCACTGCATGGTTATGGTGGATCCATCACATGTATTTGATTTTCTTCACTTTACCATGGTCCCACTCAGCTACAAAGAGGTTGTCTCTGGTGTCTACACCTAAACCCCATGGTTTCTGTAGATCACAGTTATCAATGTAATGGAGGAACTGCCCGTTCTGATCTAGGATGTGGATGCAGTGGTTTTTTGGGTCTGCTGTCAGGATCTGACTCTGGCTGTCAGTTGTGATGCCGTATGGATAAAATAAAAATTTCTTGGTAGTAGAGGGATGACCAGTGTATTTAAATTGGAGAATTCCTGCCTGATTAACCACCACTACTGCTTTGGCTTTATAGTCAGCCACACAGATATCCAGGTTCCTGTTCTCACTGATGTATTTAGTGTAGCCACCAGATGAATACAGAGGTTTACCTTCACTATCAAACTGAATGGTTTGTGTTTCTGTGGAGCCAGAGAAACGGACAACTTTTGATTGTTTATTATCATCACTGACCATGGTAACCAGGAGGTCACCAGAGGAGGTACTACAGACAAAGTAAGGTTTCCACCCCTGTAGTCTGATCACTTCTTGTATATTTTTATTCTTCACTATGTTTACAGTTCCTGTATAAGGGTCAGTATAAACTAGATCTCCACTCCTTGTCACTGCTATGTCAGGTGGATCATTCCCAGACTTGGTTTGGATTGACTTCAGTAGTTTGCCCTGGAGGTTGTAGAGTTTCATGATTTTGTCTAATCCACATGTCCAGATTTCTTCATCACTGAGACAGGTAACACTGTATACTTTGTCATACCCAGTGTCTATGGTGGTGATGAGCTCTGGTTCATCAAGCAGTGGTTTGACTGGAGGACAGGATACAGCTTCTGGTGTCTTCATTGTGTAGCCATGTTCTTCTGTTGTAATGGATAATGCTGACAGAGAACCAAACATTTGATGGAGCTGTTCTGTGTTGATCTGATGAGGAGAGAAACTTGGTAATAAAACATTGACTTTAGGAGGCAAACTTCTGAACTCAGCATTCCTGGATTTGTATGCAGAGGTTAGGGAGACATCATTGGAGTCGAGCATTTTCTTCAGATCATATATGCATTGTTTTACATCAGAAGTAATCTGTTTGATTTCATTTTCCTGTTTATTTAGAGCAGCCAGGTGTTTAGATTTCATCTCATCAATTTCAGATTTCTGTTTGTTGACAATGATGTTAATTTCTCTGTGCCAGTCTTCTCCTTGTTTGGTGACAGCTGTTGTCAGTTTCTCATAATGTTTCTCTAAGTTTTCTTTTTCAGAGTTTAAATCTAATGCAATTTCTTCATATATAGGAAAGATTGTTTTCTCTAGTTCTTGTAAGTCTTTTTCAAAATACTTTCTTTTAGAACTGAGTTTCTTCAGAGCATCAGATAAATCATGTCCTTTATGTTTCCCAGAGGAGATGCATGCAGAACAGACAGGAATGTCACATTTCTCACAGTAAAGTTCACAGTGTTTCTGAGTGTGGTTTGGACATTTTGGGTAGTAAACATTAGGAGTAGATTTTCTGTGTTTATATGGTACAACATTGTGTCTTTTAGAGGAATCAGAGAGATGTTTTCCAACACAGACTATACAGAGATTTACATGACAAAGTTCACAGTGACTCTGTAATGCAGCGGTTTGACACAGGTCACAGAGGAGGATATCTTGCGCACTGTAACGGGGGTCCATTATAGGGGTCTGTCACATGATGAAGGCGGTGGCTGCTGTAATATAGCATGTATAGTGTATTACGGTAATTTATATTACTCTCAATAAAAGGAGAGAAAAGACAGAGATTTTTAAATAAGCTCAAAATTGACATGAATCAGTAAGTGTTGATTGGAGGGGATACATGATTATATACAGTGATAACATGCAGCTCTTTATTGCTTTACTGGATCAGCACATCAAGACATAAATTATATGTCATTTTTTATAAGAATATAAGATATTTTCGGAGAACTTTAAATTTTTTAATATTTTTTTTTACACCAAGTCAGAATCATAAAATAATTATTGAGTCTCACCTGTTATTACAAGATGGCCGTCCTGACTACATAATAGAGACCGACAATCAACTTCCTGGTCTTGGTTCTAGATTTTGACCTACTTTCAGGTCACATGATTTAAATACCTGTACATGCACATGATTGAGGGTATTGATATCATTTAGCAATTTCAAATTATATTTGGCGTAAACTTGATTTGAAAAATTTTATTTTCTATATACCTGTATGTATGGTGTTGACAAAATGTAAATTTGGTAAAAAAAAAAAAATATGTACTTGTTTAAAAATACATGAAATGTTCTGAAGATAATTAAAGTTTATTTAAATCTCTCCTGTAGAAATATTGACTTTACCTGGTGTATCTACCTATGAACAACATTTTAATAAATATCACTGTTATTTGTCTTTAAACAGAAATAGGAACTTTCTTTAATGCAAGAATTTAAATTGTAGACTGATTTGGTCTACATATACATATATAAGTTACAATTTAAAGGACAAATACCCTTTAGTTAATTCTTTAAAAAAAATTCTTTGCTTGAAATTTCAAAAAGAATGTCTCTTAACTAATCAATTTTCACAGCTTATGATAATTTGAAAATTTTTTTTGATGGATCCTTGAAGTAAAATTAGTACACATTCAAATATTATATAGTAAAATTAAAATCATTTTTTAAAAAAATTTAATGATTTTAATTTTAAATCTAATATTTGAATGTGTACTAATTTTACTTCAAGGACCCATCATATACAGCTGTACTCTTTTTATACGCCCGTCTTAAGACGGGACGTATTATGTTATAGGCTTCATGTCCGTCTGTCTGTCTGTCTGTCTGTCCGTCCGTCCGTCTGTTAGCTTTTCTCGTGTATTTAACTTGAATACCATAATTTAGAGTTATCAAACTTTGTTACAGCTGATAATTTGGGTAGAAGGTGTGTCTGTGCACAAAAAGTAGAAGTCGCTCTGACCTATTATTAAAAAGTTATAGCCAAATATGGAAAAATCCTGTCCAGTCCATAACTTGAAAACTATTAGACTTAGAGTCATCAAACTTGGCCACTTCATGCATCTTAGGTAGAGGGTGTGTCACGACCTATTTCAAGGTCACTGTGACCTTTAATTTAAGTGAAATTAAAAAAAAAATCTCTTTTTTTCTCTTCATTTATACACTCCAAAAAATGTAAAAGTATTGCACTATCCTTATTAGAAAAATGTTAAATTAAGAAAAATACTTATTTTTTTTAGTATATACTTGACAGCAATCTATAACAAATGTAATGTATGTTAAAGAAATTCCACCACTCCCATGAGTTTAATTATCAAGCACTGGTCAAGAAGAATTTTGATAACAGAAAATTGCATGTCAAATTAGAGAGAGAAATTAATGAGTTTAGTGTGATAGCATTGGTGCTATCTATATATTGATATTGGAAAATGGGTAATCCTGTTGGATTAAAAATAGCTCTTGTTGGCTAGCATAAGTTTTAAAATGAATTTGATGAGGAGTAAATAAAACTAATTTGATTTTGCATAATAAACTGTTTTGATATTACATAAAATTATGAACTTTAAAAAACTAATTTTATGGGGGTGGGGTGGAATCAGCATATCCATATGAATTGCATATTAAAACCTGTCTGCCATTAAATCTAACAAAAAAATCATTGAGGTTTTATATTTTTTAAAATGCTTAATGGTAGATAGTGCAGATCCAAAAATCTCTTAGGAGTAATGAGTAGACAAGCATCCAGTTAAAGATTAATTAATGTGTTCAATGTAGCAAGGCTATAGCTGTCTCAATTATTTCTTCATAGCATTATCTTTGTGTATTTTGGGAATTAGACAGAAGAACTGTTGGTCATTTTATATTTGATGGCCAGCCTTTCATTTTCAAAATTAATTAGGTATAGATTAAGTTGTTAAGCTTAATTTGATATTGTTTAATATGATATGCATTCAGCAAGGTCTAACACAACCAGCATAGAAATCTATGAATGATGCAATACATGTATATGTTATAATCAATGCCTACACCACAGGAGATGGACAAACAAATTTTTTAAGGAGTTGAAAAATCATGGAAATCTAAAATCAAGGTTGACATGATTTTCTTGCACATTTGATTGTTTAAGATAATTGTAATTTTTTGACGGGCGTATCATGCTGTGGCGTGGCACTTTATTAACATGTTTCTTTAAGTAGAAATATCATTTTTATATTGATTAAATAATTCATTGATTACACTACACAATTATAGGAGAGAGTATCCTGATCTGTAAGCCCAGTGAGAGAAGTAAAGCCGTGACCTTAGTACAGTCTGAACTGCCACCTGTCAGGAGTTGCCTGATCAAACACCAAGGGGAACAACTCAGTTCTAGCATGAAAAGAGCCATACTAGAGGTTTGTAATGTAGCCTGATTCCTTTTGTTATTGTGAATAAAAGCGGTAGCAAAGAAATGGTTATCTTAGATAGTTAAATTTCTTTTAATGTGTAACAATATTTTTATGTCGATTATTATTGGATTTAATGTAAATATTATCATCATATGCTCATAAATTTTTAAAAAATATTTACAAAGTTAAAATAAAGTTCTGCAGCAGGATAAATTCTCTAGACAGTCGGCAAAGGACATAATATGTAGTTGTTCGAGTGTAAAATAGAAATTCTAATAAAAATTTCATGTATGGTGGTGTCAGTGATAGGTTTGGCAGTCTATGCCTCCTATTATGTATTATACATTATTTTGTGTGTTTTATTGATAGTTGTCAGTTATGTCATTATTTTTGTGTGTCGTTTTTTGTATGCCCCTCCATGATAGTAATAGTTCTCAGTGGTGTGGTGGTGTCTGTGACAGATGTGGCAGCCTATGCCTCCTGTACTATGTTATATCTATATATACATTATACAGATAGTTGTCAGTGGTGTGGCGATGTCTGTGACAGATGTGGCAGCCTATGCCTCCTGTACTATGTTATATCTATATATACATTATACAGATAGTTGTCAGTGGTGTGGCGGTGTCTGTGACAGATGTGGCGGCCTATGCCTCCTGTACTATGTTATATCTATATATACATTATACAGATAGTTGTCAGTGGTGTGGTGGTGTCTGTGACAGATGTGGCAGCCTATGCCTCCTGTACTATGTTATATCTATATATACATTATACAGATAGTTGTCAGTGGTGTGGCGATGTCTAAGACAGATGTGGCAGCCTATGCCTCCTGTACTATGTTATATCTATATATACATTATACAGATAGTTGTCAGTGGTGTGGCGATGTCTGTGACAGATGTGGCAGCCTATGCCTCCTGTACTATGTTATATCTATATATACATTATACAGATAGTTGTCAGTGGTGTGGGGGTGTCTGTGACAGATGTGGCAGCCTATGCCTCCTGTACTATGTTATATCTATATATACATTATACAGATAGTTGTCAGTGGTGTGGTGGTGTTTGTGACAGATGTGGCGGCCTATGCCTCCTGTACTATGTTATATCTATATATACATTATACAGATAGTTGTCAGTGGTGTGGGGGTGTCTGTGACAGATGTGGCAGCCTATGCCTCCTGTACTATGTTATATCTATATATACATTATACAGATAGTTGTCAGTTGTGTGGTGGTGTCTGTGACAGATGTGGCGTCCTATGCCTCCTGTACTATGTTATATCTATATATACATTATACAGATAGTTGTCAGTGGTGTGGTGGTGTCTGTGACAGATGTGGTAGCCTATGCCTCCTGTACTATGTTATATCTATATATACATTATACAGATAGTTGTCAGTGGTGTGGCGGTGTCAGTGACAGATGTGGTGGCCTATGCCTCCTGTACTATGGTATATCTATATATACATTATACAGATAGTTGTCAGTGGTGTGGTGGTGTCTGTGACAGATGTGGCAGCCTATGCCTCCTGTACTATGTTATATCTATATATACATTATACAGATAGTTGTCAGTGGTATGGCGATGTCAGTGACAGATGTGGCAGACTATACCTCCTGTACTATGTTATATCTATATATACATTATACAGATAGTTGTCAGTGGTGTGGCCTGTGACACATGCCTATGCCTCCTGTACTATGTTATATCTTTATATACATTATACAGATAGTTGTCAGTGGTGTGGCGATGTCTGTGACAGATGTGGCAGCCTATGCCTCCTGTACTATGGTATATCTATATATACATTATACAGATCGTTGTCAGTGGTGTGGTGGTGTCTGTGACAGATGTGGTATATCTGTATATGTTATATCTATATATACATTATACAGATAGGTGTCAGTTGTGTCGAGGTGTCTTCGACAGATGTGGCCGCCTATGCCTCCTGTACTATGTTATATCTATATATACATTATACAGATAGTTGTCAGTGGTGTGGCGGTGTCTGTGACAGATGTGGCAGCCTATGTCTCCTGTACTATGTTATATCTATATATACATTATACAGATAGTTGTCAGTGGTGTGGCGGTGTCAGTGACAGATGTGGCGGCCTATGCCTCCTGTACTATGTTAGTGGCGTCCCTGGAGACCAGCTCTGACCAGACACAGGACATGATTGATGCCTGTATACAGTTCCTTCAGGACAACGAGTTTGTGTCTCTTCAGAAATCACAAACAGAAGGTAAGCATGGCAAAGTCATTCTTCTCAACAGATACCAAAATCTCACTCCTTAGATGGTTGCCTGTAGTGCTTTCAAATGTTTTTAATGTTATATAATACCGGTAATTATTTCTAGGGTAGTAGGTAGCGTTTGAATAAACAACTGTTTTTTTTACCCCCGCTCTGAAGGAGAGGGGGATAGACTGTTTTACCCTTGTGTGTCTGTCTGTCTAGCTGTCTGTCTGAAACAAATTTTCGTGGCATTTTTCTCAGCAATTACTCATTGTAGATGCTTGAAATTTTAACACAATCTTCTCTGAAGCATGGCGTATGATGGGTTACATTTTTGATAAAATCTGATGTCAAAGTTTTTTCATTTACTATTCATCGCAGATGCTTGAAATTTTAGTAACACTCTTTGTTGAGGAATGCCATATGATGGGATCACGTTTGATATGAATCTGATGTCAAATTCATATTTTATCTGTGCATCTGCCCTTAATTGAAGTTTTGTATATTAACATGATAGTGCTTATTTACTTCAGAGCGGGGGTATTACTAGTGCTCATTGGCTCACAGATTTCTTGCTATGTGTCATTTTTCTACCCAAAGTACCCGTCAACGTACAATGTTCACCTTGCTCCATTAGATGGCTAGATATATTGCATTCCTTGGGTACATGAAATCACCTCTGACAAATTGTTTATTATAGATGGTATGACAACAGAGGACCGGTTTGTTCCCACACAGCTCGGTGCAGCTGTACTAGCTTCCAGTCTTTCTCCAGATGAGGGTCTGGCTGTTTTTGCTGAACTACAGAAAGCTCGACAGTGTTTTGTTCTAGAGAATGAGCTACATATTGTATATCTTGTGAGTGTTAGGATTTTCTATTTTTTCTTTGGAAAAATGGTTTTTGAATGGAACAGAGTTTTATTTTAACCAAATTACTTATGGCTCATTATTTTTAGTCATATTTCATTAGGCCATCAATATATTAAATTACAATTATTATGAAAGTGTGACGAAAGGAATTATATTTTAAAATCACCTCTTATTTAACTTCATTATTCCAATGTTGTAGGTGACCCCCATCTACTCTCTAGACTTGGGGGCTAACATGGACTGGTACAAGTTCTACTGCCTGTGGGACAAACTTTCCCCGGACAAGAAGAGAGTGGCTCAGCTGGTGGGGGTCAGTGAGGCATTCCTCACCAGGGCCATCCAGGGGAGGATACCAACTAAAACAGAGAACCAGTTAAGGAGTCTGGCCATACACAAGAGGTCAGTTTGTAATCTGAAAATCTCTGTTTCTTTTATTTCTCCCATCTCTAATGTTACATGTACATGTATATCATTTTCTGATATGGGGCTTAGTAAAAATAAAACTTCATGTCACAAAGCTTCCCATAGATGATGGTTTAGTGCATTTAGCAATAACATGTGGAAAGGAAACTAATGTTATATCTGATATGTTAGAATTTGGTTGAAAACTTCATATGTATTCTGTGTGCATGTATTTAGAAATTTAGCATGATATTGTCTGTCTGTACTACATGTAGGTTCTACACGTGCCTGATACTGAGTGACCTTGTACAGGAAGTCCCCCTGGGGGAGGTGTGTCACCGCTACAGCTGTAACAAAGGTCAGCTCCAGTCCCTACAGCAGACAGCCGCCACTTTTGCAGGTAGGGAATCTTACAAGTTATAATATGGTTTTCTTTTTCACCTGAGAATGAAAATGAATCGCATGATATAAATCAGTTATGAAACTTGAAAATTTCTTTATTTGGATATTGTTTCTGCCCTAGGAATGGTGACGGTGTTTTGTGGCAGGCTGGGTTGGTATAACTTGGAGTTGATCCTTGGTCAGTTCCAGCATCGTTTGACCTTTGGAGTCCAGAGAGAGCTGTGTGACCTTGTCAGACTGACCTTGCTGAATGGACAGCGGGCCAGAGTCCTGTACAATGGTGGCTTCCACACTGTGGCAGCTCTAGCTAACGCCAGTGTCACTGATGTAGAACTAATCTTCAAGAAATCTTCACCCTTCCAAAGGTAGACACTGAAATAAATATCAATAATCATGTAAATATATTGGTCATACTCTCAATAAGCTGAATGAATTGAAAGGATTAAGAAAAAACTGCTACGGTACCGTAATTACACTATATCTGGAAATTTTTGCTGTAGATAAATTTTAAGCAAATTTGCAAGTTCATTGCATTTGCAAAAATAAATTTTTTTTTAAGAGGTCTTTTATGTGAATTATGAATTTAATGAAAATATAAATCTCCAATTACCAGAATATGTATTTAACAAATGAAGTCAACCCTCTAAGCTGGTCATTCAAAAATTTTAAAACGTAAAAACAGCATTTTGACCAAAATTTGCAATATAAAATCAACATGTAATTTCCTAGATTTACGATATAATTTGCAACTCCTGGGGAAAGGATTAAGTGATTTTTTTCATTTCCAGCTCTAAGAGACAGGACAATGAGACAGACTGGGAGGCGACAAAGAGACAGGAGAGTCGCTGTATCTGGTTAACGGGGCGTAAAGGTGCAACAGAGCGTGAAGCCGCAGAGGCCATCATAGAGGAGGCCAAGTCAGTCATCCAACAGGAGCTGGGCGGACTGGGAATCCAGTGGAAAAATCCAGAATCCAGGGACATCCAGAATAGGGGGTCAAATCTGGATCAGAGCAAAGTGGAATGTCAAGATGACAAGAAGACTCTGGGTTTAAACCAAAGTCATGGTGGTATGACCTTGGTAAAGCCCAAGGGAAGGAGGTCAGTGGGGAAAAGAAAATCAGTGGGAAAGAAAAGTCCTGGACTCTCCAAGTCTGGGATTTCTAATGGAGATGATTCCAGAGTAATAGAGAGGTCTGTTGTAGTCAGTCCACCTGGCATCAGAATACAAGGGAACACACAGAGACACAAAAACAAAATAATCACATCTGATAGTAGGGGAAGTATGAATGATAATTTGAAAGGGGGAAAAGAAGATTGTACTAATTCAATGACAAAACTTACAACCACAGCAGAAGTTCACCATGTTCCAGCAAATCCAGTGGGAAAAAACTGTTCTGTTCCTCAAATACAGCATTCTGAGTCTTGTGACGGAACAAGTAAAGAGATACTGCTGGATAAAGTTGAGAAACAACAAAAATCCAAACAAATGGAAACATCTTCTGCCAAGACATCTGAAATTTCTTCAGGTACAATGGAGGACATATCAGGAAATGTTCACCCACTAGCTTTCCCTAAGAGTACAATTGCCTCTAATTTAGATACTTTTTCTTCAGTTGCTGTTTCTACTAACGCCATCAAAATCCCAGCATTGTCATCTGATTTAATCAAGACATCAGACAATGTAAATCATGGAAAAGACAACAGAGGAAATTCTGATGGGAAAGTTTCTTCATTAGGCTTTCATGAACCTGACTGTCTGAGGAATCCTGATGATACAGCAAAGACAAATAAAAAACAAACTCCAGCCATCAAGGGATCTGATATAAAAACTCCTCTTGTACAGAAAAATCAAATAAATCAATCGTCTATGCAAACTTTGAAAATTCATTCTAGTTCTAGAGAAGTGGATCAAATGAGTTTGAACAAAAATCCTAAAGAAAACAAAGAGAAAGTTACAGAGGATATGTTTTGTTCAGGGGATTTTACAGATAGTTTTGTTTTTGAATCTCAGATGGATGTTGGTCAAGTAGATTTCCCAGCATTGGCTTCTGTGGCTTCAAAGGAACCAGTGCCCAGTACAAATGATAAAAAATCTGGGTCAGATTCAGCAAAAGCAGATATTGATTCCATTGATGAAGTAGAAAGAACGTCTTCTGAAAAGAAAAGTTTAAATAAATGTTTGCAAGGAAAAGATTTGTCCGACATGAGAATTTGTGCTCAACCATCCAGCCATTCTACAGAGGAACTGAACAATAAGGTTAGTGACATAAAAGACAAACTGGTAAACTCTGTGATACCTGTGTCAAGTGAAACTGCAAATGGTAGAAAAAGGGAGAAAAATGGCAATTGTGAAAATAGAATTGAAGATAATGCTATTAGTGAATTAAATGATAAGTGTGATAAAGATTTGAATCTTAGCAGTAGTCTGCTGTTGTCACATGACATGTCATGTGACCTGTTACCAGCCAGTAATTTTGAGAGGTGTATGATGTCAGATGACGAATCAGATGTCAGTAAAAATGAGTCCTACAGGGACCTCAGAATCCCTTATCTTAGTGGACAGGAGGCCTGTTTCCAGGGCAGTGATAAAAAAGAAAAAGGTCCCACTCAGACAGGCTATAGCCAGCTGTCACAGGACTTGATGCTGGCACTGGAACTCAGTGATACATTCAATGAGGACAGTGATGGGACACAAACTAAAAATCATCAGAACCAGGGATTCTGTCAAAACGAAGTGAAACAAATAATTACTTAAAAAATTGTGAAGTGAAAACACCTCAACAAGAAACAGGAGGAAAAGAGACAAGTGATAAGGCAGACGAAATGAGTGACTCGTTAACTTTTTCCATGGTTAATGAAGTGTTAGAAATAAGTGATATGGGACAGTGCAATAAAAAATCAAATGTAAAATTGAGTGATTCTAAATATACTAAGTTGAAATCAAGAGGGGCATCACAAGTTAAAGACAAGAAGCTGAGTCCGGGGACACTGGCATTCCTTGATGACCTTCACACCAGTATAGACACCGACAGTGATACATTAGTGGGGAAATCACCTTCTCCAAAAAAGGTCTCTTCTCAGAAAACTAAACTTAAAAACACAAACAAGAATGTAAACAGCCAAGAAAAAACTGATGGTAGAAAATGTAAAAGAAAAAGCTTAGAGAAGGCTGAAGGAGGTAAAGTTAAAAAGCTAAAAGAAGATAAAACTAGAACTAATGAGTGTCTGTCCCCCACCCCTCCAAGACCAGGTCTTCTAAACTCCCCAAGGACAATTGGAAAGACCACTCCCAAAAGTCTGAGGTCTAAAGGTCAAAATGCAAGCACTGGGAGGGCCAAAAAATGTATTGACACTTCTGACGCTTCAAAGAAAAATGAAAATATAGTGGTGGAAAATTGTGAAGGTGATGAAGTGCCTTATGAAGAGAGGGGGCCAATAGTGGACCCTAATGAGACAGGCCTCCCTCCCTCTCAGGGGTCCTTCACTATTATAGATGTGTGTGCTGATGGTAGGTTGTTTGAGACGTTCCTTGCTGAGTGGAGGACACAGTCTGTGTTCTCTTTATCTGTGGCCTGTAGGACCAAGCCTTCCTCCTCAGTCTCCTCTTCTGCTGGAGGACAAATAGGAGCCAAGTTTTCTAAAGGAGGGACAACAGACAAAAGTAACAGAGGTATGGGATTCAGTGTTGGCAATTTTCTCTCAAAGTGATTTAAGATTTTTGTTGAAATGTTGTTGCTTACAGTTCTGGGGTTTTTTGTCTCCTTGTTTTGCTTCAAATTGGATCTTTCTTTATGCTGTATGAAACATTAACTTAATTGTATTATTAAATTCCACACATCAATACATGTACAATGTACCTGTACACTATAATATACATACATGTACAGTGTTCATGTTACAGACAAGGAGCCTGGAGTGGTCTCCCTTGGATTACCTGTCACAGGAACTAACCTGTTAATTACAGGTGTGTCAATCAGCTGGGAAGACAGAGATGCTTATTTCATTTCCTTGACCCCAGGGAATGCAGAGGGTATGTAACTGTGTCTTTTGTCTTAATTATTATGAACGGTAAAAAGAAATTAAAGATCACTAGTTTAAAGTATTCTGATTAAAGTTCCTAGAGGAAAAAGTGTAATATTTATATATTTTTAGAACAGAATGGTTACGGGTGTCATAAACCATTACTTGAACTAACATTCAGGAGAAAATTTTCAAACTCAATATTTTAAAACATTTTTCAATTAGGACTTAGTTAATAGAATATCAATCACCTGCAGATACATAAATATTTCCATTTCTAATTTTTTTTTCTCTGTGATAACTCTTTGAAAGTTGTCGGAATTTATTTCTTGATAATTCTGTCGGAATGTAAATTAGGCAGGTCGATAGCCTCTTGTTTGTCTCAGGAGCTAAGGAGGCCTAATACGTTGCAAATCCCGTGCGCATCTGTCTCTGTGTCTGACGCTAAGGAGGCCAAATATGCATGTAAATCTCTGCGGCTGCCTATGTGTTTGACGTCAGTGGGCAGCCATTGAAATTGGCATGGAAGTCCTTGTGTGATTATAGTCTATGTCTACATTTTTAAAGTCTAAATCTACAATTTTATTTCACAATGAAATGGAAATATAAGGAATCACTGTCTAGGAGAGCCCTAGAGAGGGGCTGTGGTAATAGTTGCCAGGGAAAGTTTTTTAGCATAACGGGCTTCCAAAATTATTATGTTTCCCACTATTGTTGATGCCCTGGCATACTCTCAAAACTAGACAGTGATTCCTTAAATGTATATCTACAGGTAAAAGATTATATATAGAATATTATATTCTGCAGATGAAGATGACCTTGACCTGTCACCCCCTGACCTTGATAAATCTCTCTCAGTGTCAGCTCGTCTGGCAGCCATGAAGCAGTCACTAGAAGATCAAGACAACTACACAGTGATAGCAATGGATGCCAAGTCCTGTTATGGGGCCCTAGAGAGGGGCTGTGGTATAAGTTGCCAGGGAAAGTTTCAGGACCCAAAGGTAGCCAGCTGGATAATGGACCCAGGGGCCAATGAGAAGAATCTTCATCGCATGGTCCATGATTACCTCCCTTTAGAAGCATTTCTCCTGGAAGGTTAATTATAGATTACTTTAGTTAAAATCTTATCAACAGTCTTTCAAATTGATAGAACTACTTACAAAGCTAATCAAAGAGTGTTTGTAAAGTACATAACAGACAGCTGTTTTTTATCCTGTAGGTATTGGTGGTGGGGTGGGCTATGGGAGTCTAGGAATGTCCCCTGAGAACCCTGGGTCGGGTCGACTGCGGGCCTGTACCGAGGCTGTCCTACTGACCCACTTAATGCAGTACCTCTCTCTCTGTCTGAACAAAGAGAACCTGATGTCAGCCTTCCACGACATCGAGATGCCAGCTGTTATCACTCTGTCTCGTATGGAAATGAATGGATTTGGTGAGGACCATAAAGAATCTTCATTTTAAGTAGAGAAAGTGATTCTTTACACATTCAGGAAAACAAACACCTGACTGATGATGATCTGTTTTTGATTAAATAGGTCATTAGTCTTGTTCATGTAGATGCTCATATGCTTTCATAAATCTTTTCTGAAACTAACCATCATTTTCTTCATGGGAAAATAATATATTTTTAAATAGTCAATTCTACAATAATATATAAAAATAAAAATACAGGTTTTAATGATGAGGAGTGTGAGAGACAGAAGACAGTGATGATAGAACGACTTGGTGAACTTGAGACTGAGGCGTACCAGCTAGTGGGGCACCAGTTTTCTCTGACGTCAACTGAAGATCTGTCTCAGGTTTGTAACAATATGTAAATCAGGGTCATCATAAGTTTAGTTAAAAGTCAATTGACACATTTCTTCTCTGAGTAAAATATCTTATGAATTACTTTGACATGTTCTATTTATAGAACTATATCTCTGACAGATACTATTTATAGAACTACAGCAAAACTCGGTTATAGCGAAGTCGTTGGAACCTATTAAATTAATTTGCTGTATCTGTAATTCGTTATAACTGTATAAGAAATTCATTAAATATATATAGCTGGGGTTCCAAGATGAGTTTGCTATATCCATGAATTCTCAATATCCGTGTTCGCACTAAGTGAGTTTTACTCTATACCTTTTCGACAGGTGCTATTTATAGAACTACAGCTCCCTGTTAATGGTGACCCTAGCAGTCTGGGACAGCCCACCAGACCCAACAGACGGGCCCCCACAGGTCGTAGAGGCCGCCAGAAGACCCAGTTTTCTACCAGTAAGGATGTCCTGGAGAAACTGCGCCCCTACCACCCGCTCCCTGGGATCCTCCTGGAGTGGCGCCGGATCAGTGGGGCCCTGACCAAGGTGGTGTTTGCCCTGCAGAAGGAGAAGGTGTACATGGAGAGGTTGAAGATGTACAGGATATTTACAGATGTCCAGTACTTCTCAGCCACAGGACGGGTCAGTCTGTCTGAACCTAACCTACAGAACGTCCCAAAAGATTTCCAGATCTCTGCCTCAGGTTTGTTTACCAGTCTAATTGTGCCATTGATCTCTCTGAATAAATTGTCAGAAATGAGACTGTATGGGATAAAGTTTTAAATTGATGCAATTTATAAGTTTTTTGATTGTCATTGTAAGATGGTAAGATGGTATAAAGATCTTTAGGTATTCTGATGTGTTGGGATTGTACAAATAAACCTTTGTATATTTAACAGTTCCAAAAACCACTGACCAACAGATGGAGTGTGCTAGTCCTCTAGGCAGGACCCGTAACTCTGTAAGGAACCAAACCAGAGTTCTTCAGATGACAACTGATCTTTCATTCAACGTCAGCATGAGACATGCCTTCATTCCTTTTCCAGGTAACATTAATTTGTTTTTATTAAATTATTTATCATTATACTTTATGTGCAGATAATACTGTAGATCCAATATTATTAAGGATAAGTATTATTTGGATTTTATCATTTTAAGAGTTTAATAAAAACCCAACGATAATTTGATTTACTGTAAACTTTAAATTGTGAAGAAATGTTAATGTAACTTTGAGATAACTACATGAACTTCTTTAGATGTGCACTTTTGAATACATAAGATGGAATGATTTTAAAAATGTGGCCCATTCTCTCTTGGCAAATCATAAATTATATGCATGTTTAATGTAGGGGGAGTTTTGCTGGCGGCTGACTACTCTCAGTTGGAGTTACGCATGATTGCACATCTTTCCCAAGATGCCAAGCTGATACAGATCCTGAACGGTGATGGGGACGTTTTCAAACTGATCACGGCTCAGTGGAAGTCAATCAGCGTGGAGGAGGTCACTCCAGAGGAGAGACAGCAGGCTAAACAGGTGAGAGGTCACAGGGTCAAAAGGTCAGAGAGACAGCAGGCTAAACAGGTGAGGGGTCACAGGGTCAAAAGGTTATTCTAAACAGGTGAGGGTCACAGGGTCAAAAGGTCAGAGAGACAGCAAGCTAAACAGGTGAGGGGTCATGGTTTCACAAGATATTCTAAACAGGTGAGGGGTCATGAGGTCAAAAGGTCAGAGGGACAGCAGGCTAAACAGGTGAGAGGCCATGGGTCAAAAGGTTAATCTAAACAGGTGAGAGGTCATGGGGTCAGATTGTTAATCTTCACATGTGAGTGAATGTTTGGGGTCAAAAGGTCAATCTAAACGGGGAATGTAAGCTAAATCAGGTCTCTTGTAGTGTATGAATATAATTTGCTGCTGAAAAAATGGCCCCCTCCCCATCTATTGTTTTATTGTCTTCATTTAGATCTGCTATGGTAAGATATATGATATTGTTTGTATACAGAACTGCTAAGGTATGGTCAATGATACTATTGTCTTAACACGAATCTGCTCAAATTGGTACAATCTGTAGTATTGTTATCTTTATACAGATTTGCTATGGTATGATCTATGGTATTGTTGTCTTTATACAGATTTGCTATGGTATGATCTATGGTTTTAATGTCTTTATAGAGATTATACAGATTTGCTAGGTATAGATTATATTAAACATATATCACATGATTTGAGGGTGAATATAATTTTGTTATGACTAAAGTGTAATGTCACCCGATGCCGAATTTATAAAATTATTATACATAACACTTTTATTGTTGTCTTTTATTTAGATTTGCTATGGTAAAGCCATGTGGTATATGTTATATGACATTTTTAAAACTAAAAAAAATTTAAATCATTTAAAATCATTGAAATTTTTACAAATAATCCAGATTTGCTTTTTGATTAAGAATAAAAGCTCCGTTGTTTAATTTGCTTAGCAATCTTGTCAAAAAAAATCTCGAATACAGTATGTGTTTGTTTGAATTACGTAATTTGAACACGATTTGATAGAAAGGATTTTTGTTTATGTGTTTCCGTAATGGTGACATATATTGTTTTTTTGTCTTGATAACTGATTTCCGGTATGATATTTTTCAAGGTTTATAGTGAAACTTATTACATTTGTGATATAATAGGAAAACTTATTCAAAAATGTTATATATGGTATTGTTGTCTTTATACAGATTTGCTATGGTATGATCTATGGTATTGTTGTCTTTATACAGATTTGCTATGGTATGATCTATGGTATTGTTGTCTTTATACAGATTTGCTATGGTATGATCTATGGTATTGTTGTCTTTATACAGATTTGCTATGGTATGATCTATGGTATTGTTGTCTTTATACAGATTTGCTATGGTATGATCTATGGTATTGTTGTCTTCATACAGATTTGCTATGGTATGATCTATGGTTTTGTTGTCTTTATACAGATTTGCTATGGTATGATCTATGGTATTGTTGTCTTTATACAGATTTGCTATGGTATGATCTATGGTATTCATGTCTTTATACAGATTTGCTATGGTATGATCTATGGTATTGTTGTCTTTATACAGATTTGCTATGGTATGATCTATGGTATTGGAGCCAAGGCACTGGGTGAGACATTGGGAGTGGATGAAAATGATGCAGCAGTTTTTATGCAGACCTTCAAGTCCAAATACCCTGGTATGATCATATTGATGTTAACTGTTTTGAGCATTATGATTGAAAAAAATTAAAATCAATGTATAATGTGACATACTAAATTATGTTTAAGGAATGAGGCGATACCTTAAGAACACAGTGGATAAATGTATCAAGGACAAGTTTGTGGAAACTATCAGCGGGCGACGACGGTATCTACCATCCATCTCAAACACAAACCCCTATGTCAGGGCTCATGTAAGTAACATATACCTTATGCCAGGGCCTATTATTTAAGTAACACATATTAATGTCTGGGCCTATGTTAGTAACACAGCCCCTTATGCAATACAATGTACCTCTTATCAAGGTCTTGTAACTGAATCCTTTCTACTCCCAGGCAGAGAGACAGGCTGTTAACACCACAGTTCAGGGGTCAGCTGCTGACCTTGTCAAGGTCGCCATGAACAGGATTGATCAGAGACTCTCAGAAATATTTCCTCTCTCTCAGAAATCACTCTCACACAAAGAACAAGGCAAGTTTATCTATCTTCAATGTATTTTTCTTAAAAACCTGAAAAATTATTGAGTAAGATTTTACTGGTATTTGTTTGAAATAAGATGACCAACAGGACTGGTGCTTAGGCTCTCATATTACATGTGTTCATTCCTTATGATAAAACCTTTCAGTTGGTAATGTGACCTTGAACTGTATTTGTAAAATTAAACTTGACCATAAGCTGCTAAACAATGGATTCAGTGCTTCACTAACACATCTATGTAAACTTGATTTAGTAGATTATCAATTCAAAGCAACTGATAACCAAGTTTTAGTACTCATCATATTTTGTTGGATTTAGGTCCCACTGTTGATTTATCCAGTGACAGATGTTGTTTAGTTCTACAACTTCACGATGAACTGATTTATGATGTGACAGAGACCTGTCTGAGACAAGCAGCCAAGGTCATCAAACAGGAAATGGAGTCAGCCATGACCTTGTCTGTTAAAATGCCAGTCAAGGTCAAAAGTGGGTTGTCATGGGCAACAATGCAAGATCTATAGGTGTGAAGTGGGTCGTCATGGGCGACAAAGCAAGATCTAGAGGTGTGAATAATGAACTCTGTATGAAAAAATGTCACTTGGAGTCCATGTCACATCATTGTACAGACACTGTGGACTTAAATAAAGCTGTGAAGAAAAATTCCAGATATTTATCTTTGATATCATTAATTTTGAGAACAAAACGGGTCTATATTCTGTGATATATCTGTTCCACTTATTAAGGAAAAGTTGTTATTTCTGTTAAGTTGTTATGATTTGAACAAGCACCCTGAATCAAATGAGATTTTTATTTCTGAATCAATGTCTTTAAATTTATATTATACTTACCAAATGAATATATATTATACAGTCTCATTTGACCATATGTAATTTATATAACATCGAGGAATCTGATATGCATAGAACTGAATGAAATATTGTAAGAACATAATTCTGATCAAGAATTTTGTGTGAATTACATATTCATTTACATATATAGATGTAGCTAAATTCAAAATATGAAGGGTAACAACTATGTATGTCACCCGGTGATTTTTAACCTGTCTGTTTTGTCCTGGTTACTTGTACATTTTCTGTCATAAACTTTGGAATATTTCCAGCTTGTTCTATAGAAAAACTGAATCAGCTTTGATCATTTTGGGTAGAAAGCAGCAATAAATGAAGGAGATATTGAATTGTAAATTTTATTATCTTTGTCTCCCTGGGACCTGAGGAATGAGACTAAAACAAATGGATGCTTCTCAAGTATAATATCACACAATCCCGAACCAAGCTATTTAATAGGAGACAAATTTAATTATTTTGTCCTTTACTCGGCACTCAGGGCCATTGGGCAGTGAGGGATCTTATTCAAGGCAGCGCCTATGCCACTGCGACAAGGGACACGGTTAGTACGTTCTCATCTGAAGGACCGGTCTCCACATCCCAGAGTTGGATTAACCCGCGGCGTAAGGATCAACTCTTTACATTTTGCAACTCTAGAGCAGACGCTCTAATAGTGAAAAGTGGAATAAAACTTTTTGAGTCGGGCTAATTTTAATTTAGGCCTAACCACTGTGCCACGCGGGCGACGATGATATTGATGTCGGGGACTGTATCGGCCACACAAATTTCCAACTCATAGCTATTACAGACCATATGGTTTTCTAAAATTGCAATATATTTTAACTTCTGCATCTATATTACTGTTGACAGGGCAAAGGGTTCCAACTACATAATATGTAATACAACCACACACCATAGACACCCTGCTATGTCGGGGAGGACACATGCATGTGGGAAGGAACGCTTCTTTTGATGTTCTCCAATGCTTATTAACTAGGCCTATTTTTTATGCCCCTGTAAACGAAGTTTCGGGGATATATAGTTTTTGTCGTGTCCAGTCTGTATCTCTCTGTTTGTTTTTAACCTTTTTTACTTTTGATTTAGTGAGCTATGACTTTCATATTTTGTTATGTGTATTCCTTGTGACAAAACCTTTCTGTGGGTATCACCAAATTTGACCTTTTGACCTTGACCTTGGAGTTTGACCTACTTTTACATGAAAATTTTAAAATTTTACTTTTGCCATATATTTTGAACATGACACCAGGACATTTATACTTCACAGACGTACTGTTTGTGTGTTCACTGGATACCAACAATCTTGACCCTTTGACCTTGACCTTGTAGATTTCCTTACTTGTGAAAAAACTTTAACCTTGGCCATAACAGTACTTTTGAACGATAAGGGATAGGGCTTTCATACTTTATATATGTTATCCTTGTGAGAAGACCCTTCATTGTATACCAAGAACTTTGACCCTCTGACCTTGACCTTTGAGATTGACCTACTTTAAAAAAGCAATCCTTGACCATAAATTTAAAGAGTCAGGGCTAGTGCTTTTATACTTTACATATTTGATCCTTATGACAAGATCATTCATTTGATAACAATAACTTTGTCCCTTTGACCTTGACCTTGGAGTTTGACCCACTTTTACTTGAAAATTTTAAAATTTTACTTTGGCCATATCTTTTGAACAGTAGACACCAGAACATTTATACTTCACATATGTAATGTTTGTTAAAAGACCTTTCACTGGATACAAACAACCTTGAACCTTTGACCTTGTAGATTTCCGTACTTGTGAAAAAACTTTAACCTTGGCCATAACTTTTGAACTGTAAGGGATAGGGCTTTCATACTTCATACATGTAATCCTTGTGAGAAGACACTTCATTGGATACCAAGAACTTTGACCTTTTGACCTTGACCTTTGAGATTGACCTACTTTAAAAAAGCAAACATTGACCAAAAATTTTAAAGAGTTAGAGCTAATACTTTACATTTGATTCTTATGACAAGATCTTTCATTTGATAACAACCACTTTGACCCTTTGACCTTGGAGTTTGACCTATTTTTAAAAAAATTGACCGTTGACCATAACTTCTGAACGGTTAGGGCTAGTAATTTCATGATGATTTACATTAAGTATTTTATGTGGCAAGACCTTTCATTTGATACCATTCAATACATTGGCCTTTTTGTTGACCTTGGAGATTTTTGTACTTATTAAAAAACTTTAACATTCTCTCTACTTTCAAATTTCACAATTGTTTTCCAGTGAGAATACCCTACGTTTGGTACCAATTAATTAAATTAGCATTTAAGAAAAGCTTAATCTTTGCTATGTTGCCATACGGGGGCATCAGTGTTTTACAAACACATCTTGTTCTCTTCTGGAGACACCATGACACGCTTCTGTTGACATGTAAACAAAACCATCTTATTTCTCACTACTAGTCTCTTCACATCATGTTCATGTAAAAATATTTGCCTTGTACGTGGATTTAGATCTACAACACTTCACAGGCACCTGAATTTTTATCAAATCGCTAAATACCAAATATCGGTGGGTAGACTTTTTCGATATTTGGCTTATTTAGCGACTTATTGATAAAAATTCAGGTGCCTGTGGTCAATTCTGTTTAAAATCGGTCCATGGTCAGATGGTGAATGATATGCTTGTTTAGGATTTTACAAGAATGCAGACGACGGAAATACAGTTACTACGTCACGTACCAGCGAAAGATAACTCTCTGAAAATTTCACAACCTCGTTCAAAAGTTATTTCCCTTTAAGATAAAGATCTAGTAGATGAAAATTACCTACAGAAATATCAAATTTAAGAAATAAATTCCTTTGATGGCCCTTAATTACTTTACATTGGTGAAAAGGTGTTTCGGGGCATAATTTGTTGGTAAACAAGATGAAAAAATCACATTTTAAACTGTCATTTCCAATGAAAATTTTAGAAAACCACTCACGAATATGGAATTTTTTCCATGTTAGGACAAAGAAAATGTAGCCAAATTGCCTACAGTCTTTCAGAAAACGGTAAATTAATTTGTATATATTATATTGGTCTTTGCTGTAAAGTACAGGAAACAGAAAGTTGAAAGAAACTATGAGGTCAAAAATGGATCTAGCACCAAAAAGTTTTTTAAACTTTGTAAACTGTCATAAATTGTGTTACAGTTTTTTCTCCTAAGGATATTCTCATTTACAAAGATAAAAATAGTCACCCAAAATCAATGCATCTAAAAGGCGTAGATCTGGTCCAGAATAAGAAGAAACAAATCAAAGAAAAACAGTCAAACTTCGTTATCTCGAACACGATGGACAACCAGGAATGATTGAGGTTAAATATTAACTTCACAGGTCCGTGTTTTTGTATCGCTTATTTGGGGTTTTGAACAGGAATGCTGATTTCCGAAGTTTAAATTTGAATTTTACTACATACAATTTAAATCAATGTGCCTAAAATGATGAGGATTTGCTTCTCCAGGAAACAAACAGTAACAGGAAGGTGGGGGAGGGGAGTATGACTCTTCTAATGGCAAAATGACAACACAAAATTACAAACTTTTCTAGCAAAATATTTATTTACGAAATGTACCCTATACAATCTGCACCATAAACAAGTGATTCCCTTAGTTTGTGTCAGTATTGTCAACCATATCACATATGCTGACATATAAGTACATGTATGTGTGTATTTATACTACATAGAATATTGAACTTATATTTCCGGGAAGACTTTACATATCTGCAAAATAATCTTCAGTGAATGTAAACAACAGCGTTATTATTAAATATGTATCCAATATAATCGTGACTTGGTCATTGCACACGCGGTCATGCATTGTTTAATCCTAATATCAGCAGGTAGGAAAACAAAAGGACGCAAAATATTCTTCCCCCAAAACGTTTTCTTTTTCTCAATTAAGGTCAATGTATACATGTTATATAAATGTACAAATGTGATAATCTGTTTATAAAAACTAAAAATGAGGAATAGAAATAAATGTTGAAAAAGTTAAGGTTCTTGTTAAAATATATGAAGAACACATTTTGTTTATTAAGTACGCCATGATGTGTTTTTAGCCTGTTTATAATTTTAGGCATGTCAAACCATTACATAACACATTATCTAGGTAATAGGGGATCGCTTTAGATAAAGAATTTCCTGTTCTGTTAAATGCAGATTTCACAGGTGAAAAGAAATTCTAATCCATCAGTAAACACATTGCAAGTTAAATTCCTATCCACAAACAAATGCCGTTTTGACACTGGATAATTGATGTGAAATTCTGCATTTATTTAAAGATATTTCACAAAAACTTCAATTGTACTCCATTGGTACATCAGAATGAATCGTCTCCTGAGCGTTATCGAATCCTTAAATCTTTGTTGGACCTTTTATGAATACAAAATTGAAGCACCTGAACTGAATATTAACGAGACCCTAGGTCATCCGAATAACCGGAACTTGATTCACTTGTGATAGTCATTTGACTCCCGTTTGGGATATTTGGAGGGTTGTCTAACACGTTTTCAAAATGCATGGGACCAGAAATAATGCTGTGATCAGCTGTTAAGTCAATGGCGGGTCTTTCTAATTTAGTTACGTGGACAAAGCAACATGGAGTCGATATTTCTGTCTTTTTTGGTGGTTTGTATTTAGGGGCTTTCTTTTTCTCGGATTTTCGCCTTTTGTGTTTCGTTTTACTGAGACTCATGATTTCGTCATCAGGATTTGACGTCAGCTTATCTATCGTACTATGAAAATCCGAAGCGGCGGTCGAATGATCGAAACTAAGTCCCGCTAGTCTCGTGTGATCCGTAGACAGGGACATTGTGTGAAAATTCGGGTGTTCGGCTTTATAAGTCGACAAATGATCGATGGCGTCTTTCCAGAGAAGAAAGCCCGTGCCTTTTTCCGCCAAAACAATTTGTAACTTCCGGTTTCTGTGATGATCCCCCGTGTCTAAAACCAAGACGGGAATCCCTGTCATGGCGAACTTCCACTGGTCTTGATTTCCTTTAACTTTCCCAAAGTAAAGATTGGCAAGACATTGACACACAAAAACTTCAGTCTTATGACTTCGATAAAACATATCCACTTGCAATAAATCCTCTTCTGTCACACCCTCGGCAAAGTTACACACATTAAGTCCAGGCCTTTTTGACCCACTAAGAGTTGGGTCCGAAATATCGGATATTGTTAGTCGTTCTTTACTCCCAGATAAGTTACTTTTGCCCTGAGGGCCGAATTTATCCACGGCATCATACTTCTCTGAGATTCTGTTAATTCCTTGTTTGGCCTGCTGGGCCTTTTGTTGCATATGAATAATGTCCTCTGTCGTACAATAGGTACTCTCGGGGCTGTCCTGAATCGTTAGGCCCTCCATTGAGGGCAAAGGCACACTACCGAAATCTGGCCCCGGCTGATCGTCTACAATAGGAGGAGGAGGTGGCGGTAGCTCCATAGACACATCCATCTGTCTCAGAAAGCTTCGTATATCCTTAATATCACTGTCTCGATAACAGCGTTGTGTATTCTTAATGTTATGGTTGTAAATCCAGTAAATATATCCTGGTATACGTTAAACTATACATGTAATTGTTATCAAACATGCACACGATTACCGGAACACACTAACAACACTGATTTAGCATCTCACTGCGATGACGGCGGAAATTGTGACGTTCGACTGTATCCTTAATTCAAGATGACTGTGTCGGTTTTCTTAAGGCAAAACAATCACAAGAGTGCAGTGTTATTCTCCTATATAAACCACTTATAACCGGAGATATATGTATTTATATATCCAATCATTTACTGGTCAAAATATACATGTAACATTATGTATATGATAGATAAAAAGGAAAATCGATTTTTAAGGAGTTTCAGAAAATTTCCCTCTTCCTTGTACATTTTTATCATACATGCTTATCATGTAATTAGACTCATCACACAGATATCACAAAATTATTTTAAGGTATCACACGCATAGTTAAGGTGGTATCTACGGAAGCTGTGACATCACACGTGTATTGCAGGTTATGCTTTTTCTCACTTTGTAATTCAAATGGAAGATCAGTTGCTGTTTTCAACATCAATCAGCAGACTTGCAGTATGTAAACGGTGACCTGTGTAAAAAAAAAAAATGTTTATTCAAATTAACTTTTGAACCAAGAGTCTCTGAGGACACTATTGCTCTACTGATTACAATACAAGTTAATCTACATAATATGAACTTCAACTGTATTATCGAGAAAGGATGGGATGTTTAAGTATCATAAACTGATGAGAATGTAAACAAGACACTTCACAAATATTCATCTATCTGTTAAACGGAAGGATATTTCCCTCAAAATCAAAAAAGATATTTTCAAAATTCTAAGGATCAGTTTAACCTAAAGACGGGAAATGACTCCTCCAGGAGTAGAATGCCTTACATTCAGTCCCCTGATTGCACGCAATAATTAAACATTTAAGGTCACACTACTTTTGATAAAAAAAATTTTAAAGTCTTTACATTGGAAACAAAAGATGGAGAAGGATAACATATCTATGAGACTCGTTTCTACTTCCTTTGAGTTTACAATGTTAACACGGAAACACGTTTTGAAACAATTAATCGATTTCTAAACAAAATTTCCCTCTCTGATGCTTCAACAAGTGTTTATGATTGACTCTTATAAAGAAATGACCATATAACTCTATGATAGATCTAAAGGGTGTGTTCGATTTTGTTCAATCTCTGCAATACACGTTGTTTCAATTCCTCGAAATTAATCTCTTACTTCGAGCGATTGAACAATTTGATATTAAGATGAAAATTATAACGTGGGAAACATTTTCAGTTAATTGGGAGGGCAACTTATTTAAAATCTCGACAATTAAAAAGAGTTATTGTGGAGGCACAACTGTATCTTATATGTAGCAACGAATATAACAAAAGGGACGCAACTGTAGCTTAGCTTTGTTTTCTACAATAAACTTCAAAATATCCCCCTCCGCTGGAAGGGGATTCTTCTGATTGGTCTGCCGTGGAATATCAAATCAGTTCATGTTTATTTCAATATCAAAGCCTGGTGGTATAGAGGGGTCAGTAATTTAATACTTTTCCTTTTACAACCCATGTCATACTCTTTGTTTGAACCTTCGTAATTCCGTACTCTAAAGGCAGTTGTCGATCCTGACGGTAAGGAACAAGACACCTTAATGTGCATTACAGAACATTCCATAGCAGGACCCTAGCAACAAAGGTGAACAAAATTACGGTCAACATAACAAAAAAATCAATATTATCTTCTTGAAGAGACACTGATTAAACCAGAAACAGCTAACTTCAAACCGCGATTATGTTGTACCGCTGGTTAAACAGATCGATAAATAACTTAAAAAAACATTTTTTTGGAATATTGACGGTGACAATATGAATATTTTTCTGTAATTTGACGGCTATAAGCATCTTGTTCCTCTTCATTGCCCTCATTCAAACTTTCTTGTTTAAGCCATTAAGTCCTTTACACAGCGAACATTAGGAGTGTTCTAATCACAAGAACGCTTACAGAACACTTGTCTATTTCCGAATTCTCCTGCAGATTATGCTTCTGTTCAAGTTCTTAGAGGATGACATTTACTCACTTTTTTTCTAGACTGGTTCTGGATAAACTGGTTATATTAGCTATGATGAATTGCAAACGGGTTTTGCCACTTGTTTCACTCAGTACTTAGACTTACATTAGCATTCTTTCTTCATTACAGCATCATTTTTTGTAAGTTCTTAGCCTTTTATCTCGTTATTTGTATTTTTACCTTTAATAGGGAAATTATACTATCATTCATTTATTCATTTGAACATGGACCTTAAAACTTTGATCTTTTCACCTCAAAATCAAATAAATAGTCTACTTTAATCATAGGGAGATTTATATGCAAAAGCTCATCTTCTGCAGAATTCACCAAAAAGTGTTCCCAAAGCACCGAACGTGCAGACAGACAGGCCCGCATACATTCCCTAAAATAGAACCTTTTAACGTTAACTTTATGTACTGGAAGTCGAATTTTTTTTCTAGGAAAAATGACTGCATGGATTTCATAGTTTTTTTTTAAAGTACTTTTCAAAAACCTGAACTCACAATTTTTTTTTAATTAATTGTTCGTAGGGCAAGTATTTTATCAATTTTTAATTTTTAAATAATATCCGATCACGTGGGGACGAAAAGAACTCACAATTTTAGATAGTTTTTCAACTATTTCTCTTTCGATACTTATTCTGCATATATAATTGTATATAGTCTGACGGCGTACAGTTCCTACCAGCTACTGTACTTGACAAACCCCCATATTCTGAATCACACCTCCTGCATGCATATATATTAAAGCACACAAAGATTTAATTCGTTTTACAAGGAATGCAGCTCAGCTCAAACCTCGGCATACGTACTCTGTGGTGTTTTAATTAACACTTCTTACATAATGTATATTGTACTTAAAAAGTTACTCCCAAATGTATAAGATGAATCAAGCCTTTGTTTTTCTGTATAATGAGCCATGGGAATAACTATGACAGGTCGTATTACAAGAGTTGTCGAATTACAGAGCATTGTCCCGGCAACACACCCTCCACTCGACATATAACCTTTTCAACCCGGTCATTTATCTCCCAGGCTGTGACGAGTAATTTATCCCGGGGTCCCAGGATGCAGAGAATATCGCAAGAATCAATAGAGATTTCTGTTATCGCAATAGCTCGTCAGAGTTCACAAATATACTTGTATACATTGATCAATATCCATACGTACGGGCCTTGTTTTTTGTTTACTTGTTAGAAAACCATCCCTAAAAAAACAGTCTGCTGCTGGTTTTAACTGGAAAGGTGATTATGACACTTTCACTTCGAAATAATACAGTATACATATACATGTATATGATATCACGTGAATAGTATACGCGCCTATTTCATGGGTCAAATAAAATAAAAAGCCACATGTCATTGTGAAAAGTGTTTTTTTTTTATTTAAAATACAAATATAGAATTTTTTCAATAAAATATACTATTAAAGCATGGGCGTCGGAAGCAAATTGAAAGGGGTGGGGGTAATTTTATATGCCTACATAATGTCTCTTTTTGCAAAAAAAGGTAGGGGCTGGGGTGCTAACCCCCCCCCCCAGCCCTTTCGGTCCCGACCCTATATAAAGTCTAGATTTCTTCTTTACCAATCGTAATTAAAACGTTAAAGGCTTAAGTGAGGCGACCCCCTGGTAAGAGAGACAACTTTCCAATAAAAAATTCTAATGATGCTCACTTGACTTATCAGAGTTTGATAAATTGCTATGTTTAAGTCGTCCATTCGAATAAACTTTATGATGGAAACATATAATTTCTACTTTCTATTGCCTATTTAAAAAAAAGTTTCATTAACTTTGACAAATACATTCAAATGTAAAATTTAGAGGATATTAATGAATGGACAGAAACCAACAAACAGACGGATACATCACTCAAGCAATTAAAACCATTAGGGTCATAAATTAAGCTGTTCTAAAGAATTACAAAAATATTTATTAGCCTGCTGGTTTGTGCCAGACTCAAGTGATTACTGAGTGTTATTCTTACATCACATTGTATATATAGAGAAAGAGTTCTGCAAAAACTTCTCTCGAGCAATTATCGAGTTGTTAAAAATGGACGCCAGATGTCTCTACCTCGCGATATACGACAGCAGCCTCATCCCCAAAAAAGTCGAAATGTACTCATCTTTTATCTTCCTGCTCTCTTATCATAATAAGTGTACTTGCCAGTAATTAATTAATAAATTAATTAGAATGCTCTAATTCACAAGCATGAAATGTATGGAAATAGTGCATGAACAGTATTCAAGCTCAAATGTCCATTTAACAATAATTTTCAGGTGCAGAGCAAACATAGACCTCTAAAACATCAGAAGTGGAATCAGGTGGCATTGAGGAGTAAGAATCCCCTGCCCACCGGTCACATCCGCCGTGTTATAATGATATCTGCACCTGGTAATTCTAAATCAAAGATTTGCAAAAATCTGAATAAATCTTTGTAATACTTCAATCGATTTACAAAAATCTAATGAGTCAGAGATATATATGTCCTCTACAAAAATTTGAATTTTTCAATTAAAAGTTTGTCATATAAAAATTTTGATTGAAAAATTCAAATTTTTGTAGAAGACAATAAGCTTAATTTCAGAAACTAGAAAAATCTTATAGAACAATAAAATTTCATCGTGATACCGGTATATATACAAAAATATGTTACAATATATGAAACATTTCCTAAATGTAAGAGGGAAAGTAATTTAAGTTATTGAAATGTAGATCAACCTATCAAAAAGAATACTTAGTCAATAAAAATTGTCGCCCCATTCTTCCTGTTAACAATTACTGGGTAAGGATATATAATAGGGATGCATTATGACTATCATATAACGTACAAATCTATTGCTATTGGGTCATTAATGAGCGTATTAAGCGTATTGATGTATCAATACAGTATATACATGTCACTATACATGTGTACATGTGCATCTTGTATCAGCTAAGAGATATAATTTCCGCATCATAAAACCGATTGAGTGTCGCCACGTGGGCTGGCATCATCATAGATCTGAGATAGAGAATGACATCCTGCTCTGACATAGATAAACAATGATAAACAATCGGGATAACGAACACATCACTTAGGAACTGTCAATGTGCATGTGTGTGCAGGGCTGGTGGAGTAATTGATAAAGAATGATAAAAATCTCAATCTGATTTATGTACACTTGTTCATATGATGTCTATTATAATATAATTCATACATGGATCTAGAGGGGGTCGGGAGGGGGGGGGGTCAGGACCCCACTGGAATTTGCAAACGGCCATCAATAAAATTCCAATATAATTAACACCCAGACTAATGTCTTCAAGGAGGAGGAAGGGGTATCCAGTGCTTCCTTTCACACGATACGGTTTGATTAGGAGTTATACAAATACTCAATAATTAATGAAGAGTGGAGTTAAGATAAACCTTCACCTTTTCATAGCATTCTACACACAACTCGGTATAACCAGCAATCTGTCCTATTCCATGATCTGTCAATCAGTTTGAGCCACTGTACGTAATACTCCCACGCAGACATGCATGCACGTGCATTTATTAAAAGAAATTCTGATTTGTATGAATCAGGTAAAAAATAACATGACACAGAGATTGTGCATTAAGATAGAAAGGATATCGCGTTTTATGTTCCTTTTTCCATTTCTCTTTGCCATTGAGAAGTTTTATGACAGAAGAAATCTTGATAAAACGAAAATATATTGACAAAACCTTCTCCCATGCATTTCAGCGGCCTTGGACGCCACAGGTAGTATATAAAGCACAAAAGCTACAGAGATTTGATATTTTTTTTTTTTACATAAATCAATGCTTTTAAAGAACTCTACTTCGCTTGGCAAGTTAAAAATTCATTATGCTATTTAAACCCTTAATTACACAATGAGTCGATCAATATTTCCGTATGAATTTATTGCATGCAATACATTAAATCTAAATGATTTAGAATCTATAACCAAAACGTATAATCTTTTTAGCGAGAAATTTCTAATCGAAGATGCAAAATTCCTTTTCCTAGATAGATGCGTGAGAGAGAGAGGGAGAGCGAGAGAGAGACAGAGATCGAGAATATTAAATGACAATTTGTTTGAAATATTTGTGCGTCTTCACCAATAAACATACACTTAAGGGTTAGTATATACATATGTACATTTAAAACCTTCTTTTATCTTCCCTGTAAATACTCAAAATTCCATTTGTCAACTCATAAAAGGAAATTGAAAATGGTCATAAATCGAATACAATTGACTCACGTGATATAAACATTCCAGATCCAAAGCGTGTTTACAAATGCATGCAGACACACGGAACATAAAACTAATAACTACATGTATATAAATAACATAAACAAGTGAAGTAAAAAAAATTTTTATAAGAATTTTTATATTATTAACATAGATCTTCAATATCTTAGTATTAACGTTTCATAAATATCGTATATATATGTGTGTGAAATATGTGTAAATCAAAACCATTAGAGGGTATATTAATCAAGGAAGTTCAAAAGCCGTCATAACTATTAGATAAACCGAGGAAGGTTGTGGGAGGTATTTTAAGTTATTTAAAAATAGGTATGCGTATTTGGTTATCTTAAATCGTCGCATATTTCAAAAATTTCCGAAAATGGCCCACAACAATATATTCCTCGTATCTTATCAGGAAAGCTGTGTACTTCCTTTATTTCCAACTCTCAAAGTCAACAATAATTGTGACACTTCATTTTAAGTCGGTAGCAACTTAAAATTTCACCTTTATTGATAAGAATAGGGGTAAAAAGCACATTTTAGCGGTTAGAGGCCCCTCAGGGTAAATATTGGGTTTATAAATTAAAATTTTTCGTGCTTTTTTGTTCGTTACTGGGGGTACGAAAGTCGATGCAAGGTTTAGTGAACAATTTTGATACAGAAATCAGATAAACAAAATCAAATAAGTAAAACGATATTATAATTCTGCTCTAATGGTAAATTTCTCTTTCTAAGTGCTGTTTTCAATAAGATTGTTTTTGTGTAGTTTTGTGCCAACGTTCAACATATTGAAATAATTAGATTAAGTAAAAGATAACATTTCCCATGTTCTCTATGACTAATAATATATTTGTTGGGTAAGGAATAGGAAGAAGAAAAATCCCCACATCTCGTGAGAAAGTGATTTTAAGTGATCTGTTTCAGCATACAAATATATTTTTTGGTATTTGGCATAGAAGTTTTCCCTTGGTTTCATTATACATGTACATGTGAATTTCAGGGTTGAACATACAGAAACCGACAAAAACAGAAAGAACATTTTTTAGGGGTCAAATGGGGATATGTTAATAGCTAATAAATTCTCTATCAATCACTCCCCTCTCCAGTATTAATTTTGTGTTTGTATCTCTCGTTCTCTCTCTCTCTCTCTCTTTCTCTCGGACTCCCTTAACCCTCTCGATGATCGTGATCTCTGCCCCTCTCTCTCTCTCACCCTCCCGGGCCTCCCTGCCTCTTCCTCCCTTTCTTTCTCTACCTTTCTACCCCACCCCTCTCACGCTCTCTCTTCATCAATCTCTCTCTCGCTCTCTCTTCATCAATCTCTCTATCTGACTCTGTCACTTTCTCTCTCTGACTTTGTCATGCACTCTCTCTTTCTCTCTCTCTCTCTCTCTCAGACTCTATCTATCTCTCTGACTTTGTCACTTTCTCTCTCTCTCTCAGACTCTATCTTTCTCTCTCTCAGACTCCTCTCTGTCTCTCTCTCATGAAAACAGTTGTTACACAGAGGTTAAGCTTCATCCAGATAACATATTTATGCCTGTCGCGACCATCGCTCCGATTACACATAAAAATAAACTATTAACAAACAATGACAGAGGGAATAGGAAGGATGGAAAGATTTTCTATTTAAGTGAGTGTTGTCATGGAAATCAGGAGCATATATTAAACACCCCCCCCCCATCTCCTCGTGACAAATTGTTACATCTGTTGATTAAATTAATTACTTCATGTACTTATTGAAAACTAGACATCCCACTTTTTTTTTCTTCTAAATTTGAATTTATCATTTCTAACATTTGTAAAATGAAGACAACTTATATTTATAACAGACATTTATCGTGTTTTCTTTTAAATTCTTATACAATGGTATTGACTTACCTCTGGTAAATTAGGTTTTAAACATCCTGATCGAAAAAAATTCCCGGTACAAATGATTCACTTTAAACACGTGGTGAAATTCACAGGTAAAAAAATTCATGGGTTGTTTACAAAACGTATTACTCAACGATACGGAAAAAAATAAATCGGTAACGTGCTTTTAACTAGATAATAAATGCAGCACTTATGAACCTAAGCGCTAGCTGTTCACAATATGCGATGCAGGCGAGGGTTTGTTTCAATGGCTCACATCCGAAAGTGAATCATAACATTTGTGTGCGTTTTCGTCTGCAGGATCGATCGGTTCCTCTCTCGTCTGCCATCACGGAATGACATTTACCTCAAAACCAGTGGGCGGATCAAAAACAAGTTTTTGCTTTGGTATTTTCTAAATGTATCCTGTTGCATGACTGAAAGAGAGGAGATTAATTAGCCTTTGCTTATTTGATTAAATATTTACCACAGCTGACCAAAGACTCACGTTTAAAAAATTCAGTCTCGTACTATAAACTTATAAATGTATATTCCAAGGACATTCACTTTTTTAATTATCAGTAGAATAAAGTGCAGTAAAACTTAATATGGTGTTATGTTTTACTGCGAATAAATGTTGATAGGGGAAATTGTCGTTGAATGGATTTTTTTTTTTCTTTCTCTCTTTTCTTTTAAGTTTATGTTATTATTTTCTTTATGCATTTTTTCTCCTCAATTTTTCTTCAACTATGTATTCTTTATAATTCTCTTAATATTAATTTATAATACATGTTTTTTTTTTAACTTAAAATATGTACAGTATTAAATTTAATTGTACCATGTGTACCTTGATCTCAAATGGAGAGAACTAATATAGGCCCTTGGCCTGCTGTTCAATCCATATTCATATTGTACTCTTTGTATATTATGAATAAAATACTTCTTAAACGAAATGAATTGATTTTTTTCCCATTTTCACTAAATATAGAATTTGGCTATAAATATATCTTATATTCAATGTTTATACGGAAAAATAGCTTTTAATTATATGATTTATTGGGAGAATCTCGAATAGACCCTCTGTTGTATACTAGTATTATCTATGTACATGTACATTAAAAAATTCAGTTTAGTTCTTTAATTATTAACTTTTTATTTGAGCTCATGTGCAAATAAATCTTTTAATCAATTAAATAGTGATCTTTTTTCATTAAAGTTAAAAAAGTCATTTATACAAATGCATGCATGGCTGTTCAACCAAAGTTTTTATAAATACATCATGGTTGTACTTCAATCCCCCCCCCCCCCCCCGAAAAAAAAATCTTGTTTCGTTCTGATTGAATTATAAGGATAAAACAAATGATTTCATGAAACAACACTTTTGACAATGTGTTTTGTGATTCTTTTAAAGTAGAAATAAAACGGTATGCATGCATGTAACTCCTTTCTGGATCACACATAAGAGAGAGAGAGAGAGAGAGAGAGAGAGAGAGGTATACAGTAATATTAGAAATACTTCTTCAGTTCTGCGGAAGGCTTCACAGTTTTTAGAGGTGGGTCGGTGGTAATATCTGTGCACGTGTCTTTTAATGATTTTTTGATCAATATTTGTCCCGTTGTCTGTCGTTGTCGTCGTCGTAAACTTTTCACATTTTCATCTTCTTCTCAAGAATGACTGGACCAATTTCAACCAGACTTTCCACAAAGCATCTTTGGGTGAAGGGGATTTAAGTATTTTTTCTTCAAATGAAGGACCAAGCCCTCTTCAAAGGGGAGATAATTATGAATTAATGAAAAATTAATGAAATCTTTAAAAATCTTCTTCTCCAGAACCAAGGGGCCAGGAAAAATGAAACTCATGACTTTATTGTGGAAGCATCCTCAGGTAGTGTAGATTCAATTTTGATCAAATCATGACCCCCGAGGGTAGGGCGGGGTCACAATGGCCGACCACTGATTTTCATAGGAATATATAGGAACAATCTTTACGAAACACTTCACCAAAACTACTTGGCCAGGAAAGATGAAACTCCTGTAGAAGCATCCTCAGACAGTTAATTAGATACAATTTTGTACAAATCAGGACCCTGTGGTCATACTGGTTCAATTGAGGGCTCCAAGGGGTAAGGCTGGACCACAATAAGCGTAGGAGGGAGCTCGAGGGGGTCATATGAATAAATAGGGAAAAAAATGTCTGCTCAAAAAAGCAAAGGCTTTTGTTGTATATGGAAGTGCATCATCAGGTAGTTGTTAAAAATTCCACCCCCATGTATTATTATATACATACATGTACTTAATGATCACAAGAAGTTAATTTTTTCCCATAAATTAAACTGGAAAATGGAATGTGTTTTATAAGTCAATTCATTTCTAAAAAAAAATGGAATAATTATGTAGAATTTTAAATCTCAAAATCCCCAAAACAAGATTTGTACATAAAACTTTTCAGTCATGAATTGCGCAGGAAAAAAAGAATAAATTGTATGTTTAAAAAAAACGAAAAACAAATATTTTAATTATTTTTTATATTTCAACAGATTTCACTATTCTTCTAAGAGAGTTATTCCCCTTTGTTCGTAAAAAAAAATATAGTATTTTATGATCAAAATGGCAAGACCTGTTTTTCATGCTTGAATGGTGAGTGGTGAAAAATGTTGTCAATCCCTCCGTACAATAACATAAAAATATATGAACTCTTACGATTTCTTTGGCTTATTATAGCACAATTAACTCAATGACTTTCCAGACCTCACTTTTCGGCTAATAGGCTTGCCTGAAAATAAAGCGTTCGACTGACTATGATTATTGCAGAAGCGGAATATTTTGCGGGAAACAACATGAAAGTCTGATGATATTTCATGGCTGAGAAGTGTCCCTGAACATTTTAAATGGTATGTATTGTAGGTTATCGCATATTCAAGATAATAACTTAGAATTTGCCTGTGTTATTTTGAAATACCACAGGAGTCGGCAGTTTTATCAATAAACCAGTGTAAACATAACCTATGAGCTTTGCGAGCGTACGCTCGCGCAGCTCTTAGGTTATGTTTACACTGGTTTATTGATAAAACTGCCGACTCATGTGGAAATACGTTGATAAGCCAGGCAGAGCTGGGCAGAAAAAAGAGTTTATAGGCCTATACCATTTTCGAATTTCCTCAAATATATCAACAGGTTGGGCACACACCCCCAAATGGTCATTTAACCCCCGTTTGGTGGTCAATCGCCCATATCGGCGTCTTTTTTACCTACCAAATGGTGGTCTTTTTTATTCAAATCCAATTTTTATTAAAATAAAGCAAAAGCGTATTTACTTTGGCATTGGGGAATTTTGATTAGTGCTGTGCGATATTACCGGTTAACCGGTGTATCCCGATTTTGTTCATCACAATACGTATCGCGGTATTATTTTGTGAATACCGGTTCGGGTTCGATATCCTATAAATTGTTACAAAAAGAGTTATTTGCCCCTTTCAAGGTAAAATATGGCGGCAAGCAACGTGAAGTTTGATCGGAAACCAGAGACATGTCTATCAGAAACGAAAAGACGACAACTGTTACATGAAAGCCCTTCATGTTAAAGCAGAATCTGAATATTACATTTTGATTCTTAAAGTTGTGCCACAAAAACTTAGCTTGCCACTTGCGTATACACAACGCGATCAGGCAGTTGTAATATGAACTCGAGAATAGACATGGAATTTGAGTTTTTGTTTTCTTTTAACATTGATGAAAAGCAAAATCTATTAAAAATTTTATATTGTGATATATTGCAATACGAAATATAATATTGCAATATATTGCGATACGATTTTTCAGCCGCGATACCCAGCTCTAATTTTGATTAACATATTCCTCGGGCATTTTATACAATTTAGTCAATTTTCCATGTGGAATTTCTTTGAAACTTCGTAAAAACGAAGCCCACAGTTGTCCATGACGGCCGAACTATTTGCTCAATCAATACAAAAAAGTATTTTGTTGTGTATAGTTTGGTAAAAAATATATTTAAACAAGAGGTGTTAGTCTAGAGAAGTAACTTTTCAAATGATCTTTCAAACTGCGTCTTTTATGGAAAAGAGACAAAAAATCGCAGTTAAATGACGATTGATATTTATACTAGGGAGACTTTAAAAAACATTCCAAAGCAGAGATAGTTTAAACATTGCTGTGTTTGGTCAATTTAGAGCAAAACATGTAATTCCATTGTTTGGTTATCTCTCCGTGTGGTGAGGCATGACTGAGTATGATTACTTCACATTGTGCTGAATAATTACCGACCTATTATCATGTTAACCAGAACTGGATTTCTTTGTCATTTCATTCAAGGAATAACTGTTCTAACTGTCATACATAGCCCCCAAACTTTCAGAACTTTGATTGCAAATGCGCAGAAAAAGACATTTCTTCAAGAGGGAATTTTTCATGAATTGTTTTCAGATGAGTTCAAAGTTGAAAATGATCACTGCATCAAAATGATAGTTTTTGCACATCCTGAGCAAAATGCTGTTTTACAGTCTTCACGAAAACTCACTAGCCCGACGCCCGAGGCCAGTAAAAATTGGTCTGGGCTAGTAAAAATTGTTTCAGAAGTAGCCCGACTGGCTAGTGAAAAGTAAGCAGGTACTTTCAGAGTTTTTGCTTTTAAATCTTAACCAATAAATAAAATCAAAGCACTGTAGTCCTATTCTTCAGAAAACTCCCTCATCTAATTCACGTAGCACTACTTAATAGTGTATTTTTCCATAAAAATGATCGTCTTTTTTCTCTAATCCAAATTTCCTCTGTTTGATCGTTTATGGTAAATACATGCAGAAATCCCATTTAATTAATTATGATCACTCATTTAATTGAAGAGTAAAGGATTAAATGAGTTAACTATGTTAACTGTTATCCAAATTTATATTAACAATGTATTTGAAAATTTAATATGAAAAAAAAGTTACTTCTTTGGGAGAGAAGTCTAATGTCCAGAAAAGAGGCTAATGTACAATACATGTACATTATCAAAAAGCTAAAAAAAAAAACAAAAAAAAACTTGTTTGTTCAAACTAATTTAATCTTTATTAATGATAACTAAAAAAAATAAATAATTAAGCAGAAAATATACGAAAGGAAAGAAATTCAGTCTGAAATTTAAATGGAATAGAGTGATCGATACAACAGTAAATTCTGCAATTTCATTTCTTTCTTTTTTTCTTTGGCTATTAAAAATTTCTTTGGGCTAGTAATACTGTCAAATCCACCAGCCTTACTGGCTAGTGTCTCAGAAAAGTTTTCGTGAAGACTGTTTTTATAGAAATAAATTCATTTGGTAGCTAAATCAAGCTACCTGAGGTAGGTAAATAAAGCTACGTAGGTAATTCTACCTACGTAGCTAAATGTACTGATTGTACTGGACCTGTTAAAAGGAAAGAAAAATAGAAGTAAGACCATGGATATTCTTAATCCGAAATTTCTCTGACTCTGACCCCTGCCTTTATATTATGACTTGTGCGGTGGTCAGATTAATAGTGAGCGCAGTGAGCGTCGTGAAGGCTTCGTTACTGCTTAAGGGCTCCCTTGTGCAAAGAGAATGTTCGGACAACTCCACATTCATTCATCACATTACGATAGACTTTTTTGACACCGTAATTTTGACCCACAATGCATCTGATTCACTTGTTTAAGCTACGTTCTCGCGAGAATAACAGCAAAAGTTCAACAAAAATTTACTCCCCTTGATTTAATGGATACATATAAAATACATGGTTACTGTCTTGAAATATAAGCAATATTTGGGCGAGGGTAAGAAAATGTGATAGATGGCGAGGCTTGCCAAGCCCTCTTATGTTTCGACCCAAGCCCAAATATCGCTTATATTTCAAGACAGTTATCATGTATTTTGTTTATCCTGCAACATATTAAAAATTTTTCTTACATTTGAACATCCAAACTAGTTATTTTGACAGATTTAGATACATCTCTGGAGTTGAAGCTATGACGCCATGGCGTAAACATTGCAATATGTGTGACATCACAATGCATTGCTTTTAGAACGTCAGAATACATGCTTGAGGCTTTATTAGGGCATTGACAAGGTAAAGATTTGGTTTATTAGGTTACCTTTATTAGGTCAATGCAAGGGGCAGTTGCTGGATAAATATTGAAAATAAATATAGTGGAAACATTCTTTATTAAATTTTAACACTGTTCACTGACAGGTTTTTTTTTGATATTGCAAATTACATATGACATCATGTGACGTCAGAGTCTAGATGTACCAATTGTCATGTGCAGTGATATTTCACTCGGAGAAGGAATTTTTTGTTTGAAATGACAGGTCTTTGTAGATTATGATTTTATAACACTCTCTTACGATTTGATTATATTATGGATTTATAACAAATAGCTTTGGATAGGCCAGAATTTTGGCATTCCAAGGTTATTTCCCATTAGCCGCCATACTGGAGGTCCAAATGCTCATATACCTTCATTGTTAAACTAAGTCCAAGCTTAAAAATTTCTTTATTTGCAGTTGCCGACCTATAATTTTTAGACTGGTTAGGTAGGTAGGCAATTTTTTTTTTTTTTTGAAAAAAAAAAATTGTTTCCAGATTTTTGTTAGATAACATAAAATAGAGTTTTTCATAGGCCTACTATACATGAATAAGCTGCACTCTTGGTATAAACTAATGATTGATGAAGACAAAAATTTTAAATGAAACAGTTTTAATATCCTGAAAAATTGGAGGAAAAAAATAATATTAAAAATAGCTAAAAAAAGTTTGGGTCGGGTGCATTTTCAGTGGGTCGGTCGGCAACTGCAAACAAACAATATTTTATTTTAGGCCTAATTAAAAATTTTTATATTTGCCACTTTGAATTAGTATTTCTTCATCATTATTTTTCTGAAGTATATAAATTTTTGGAAGCCATCTTTTAGAATTGTAAAAAAAAATTAATGAAGATTATCCACCAAATTATATTTCTGCTGCCATCCTCTTATACTTGGTAAGACAAAGAGGGAAAATCACCGAGTCGACCTCCAACAGGAAGTAAATCTCACTAAATTCAGGCCTATCAAAAACTATTAAAAAATAAAATGTAATCATGGTAATGTTCTCTTAACAACTCTGTCCTCATTAAGTTTGATTAACATCGCATAAGGGTTGTACCATTTAATATATATGATTTTGTTCATTATATGATTTCTCTACAGCATAATATCTTACCAGCAAATTGTCATATGCCATATAGGTACATAGTATAGAATTTTAAATACTAGGATAATTTTTATAACCTTTGTGATTCTAATATGATATGTTCAGTAAATTTGTACACATATAAATTTGTAGATGAAATAAAAGATGGATGTATTTGACTTAAGCAGTCAGGAGGAGTTCTCTCCCTTGAAACCTCTCACAAAACGAGCTCGGAGAATCTTTGATAAAGCCAGTGACATCGCTGTTTACCCTGGCAACCAAAATACTGACACAGGTGACACAGATACATTGACCAAAACCTCAGAAAATTTACATGACAGCAACCCAGCAGGTTTTGTGAACTCTGAAAATTCATCAAGAGGAATTAACCCACATTCTTGTATTGATGAGCTTGGTGTGAAAGAAAATTCTGAAATGAAGGATGAGAAGTTAGAGAGAGATTGTGGTAAACCTGTTTATATTTACAGTCAGGAATTGATTCAGCACTGTGATGCAATGCCTAAAATTATAAAAAGGGTAAAGTATGTGTTTTCATTTGTTGATTTACTGAGTGCTGTTCAAAGCTTTAAGCTTTAAAAAAGATAAACAATTAAACAGGATTACACTTGTCTTATTTATCATATGTAAGTTTTTTTTTTTTTTTTTTGTTTCAGGCGAGTATGGTTCATAGTTTAATTGAAGCATATGGATTACTTCAATTTATGCAGTAAGTCACTCATATTAATAAACATGAAAACATGCCAGTTAACGACGTTCGATCCTGATATTTGAAGTCTTAAACTTTTTTAGCCAAGTATATTTTTAGTTTTTACATACATATCTTAATTGAAATTCAAATCAAAATATAGGGGTCAATATGCTTCTTTTAGCGCTACAATACATTTAATATGACCTTTCTGCACTGAAATTTGTGTCTTAATTTAAAATTACATCTTCGATGTTTCCCTCCAATATTTTTATCCAATTAAAGCATGAAACAAAATAAACTCTAAATCTGTTTTAAAAAAAGAAACTTAAAAATTGTGACTAAGAAAAATTTTCAAATTGCTTCGCATAATCAATTATTTGACCTTTCTGCTCTAATAAAGTGTTATTTTTCCGGCATTGGAAATATAATAAGCAAGAAAATTATTTTACAGTCTTAAAATTTTTTCTGATTTTAAGGAAATAGGTCAAAGTTATCTTGAATATTTAGAAAAGAACATCAAAAGTGGGGGTATATGATGTAAATTTTCAGATATCACCAAAAAAGAGTCAATTTTACTTTAAAATTGGCTCAATTTTTTCCCGGATTTTCAGAATATATTTACTATATTTTTCACACTTTGTCGACAGAATTTATAAGAAATAATTCAAAAAATATTTCAGAACCAGCATAACATATTTCACTGCAAAAAACAGCTTTGTGTGCAACTAACATGGAAAAATAGGCATCCAAAATTAGCAGTACTGTTATAGTTCAAATGGAAAAAAACTGATCATTTTTGTCTAAAAAACCTTCCGCCACAAAATAGAGTCCATAGCTTATGCCCTGTTCACACGACAAGTTTAATTTGCAGTAAATTAATGCGAAGTAAACTAATGCGAATCAAACTAATGCGAATTAAATTGCGTTCACACGACAGCCAGGAGTCGACACTAACTTTTAAACCATAGTTGTCAGCAGGGCTAGTCATTTCTAGTAGTGAAGGAAAAACTTCAAGAGTACTGTACAACTATATATTCAAGAAGTGGTGTAAATCAGATGTGGATACTTAAAAATTCTAAAGAACTTTTGGACAATTTGAAATCACAAGACTTTAAAAAAATCAACAGCATAAAAACTTACGACTTTTCAACTTTATACACAACAATTCCCCACGACAAATTAAAATCCAGGCTTTTTGATATCATTGACAGCTGCTTCTTCAACAAAAATGGAACTCGTAAATTTACTTACCTCGTCATTGGTCATTTGAAAAATTATTTTGTTAAAACAGATTCTGATTGCACACATAAGTACTCTGAAGTTGACATCAAGAAGATGCTTGAGTTTCTGATTGACAATATCTATGTGGTTTTTGGAGACCAGGTATTCCAACAATCTATTGGAATTCCCATGGGTAAAAATTGCGCTCCGTTATTAGCAGACTTATTTTTATTTTCATATGAAGCAGAATTTATGCAAAATCTTTTGCGTGAAAAGAAGAAAACACTTGCTGTGGCCTTCAACTAGACATTTAGATATTTCAACGACGTATTGTCAATTAATAATGATAATTTCCATTCCTATGTCGACACGATATATCCTGGTGAGCTTGAGATAAAAGATACCACAGAGTCTGACACTTCTGCTTCATACTTGGATATTTTACTTGAAAAAGACACTAATGGTAATCTAACAACCAAGCTATATGATAAACGTGATGACTTTAACTTTTCTATCGTCAACTTCCCTTACTTATGCAGCAATATACCTTCATCACCTGCATACGGAGTATTTATATCTCAGTTGATTCGATACGCAAGAGCATGCTCTACGTATGAACAATTTCTTAAACGAGGTAAATTATTGACAAGCAAGTTGATGAAACAAGAATATCAACAGTCTCGTTTAAAGTCATCATTTCGAAAATTCTATGGTCGATACAATGACCTTGTCAGCAAATACAATTTATCATTGAATGAAATGCTGACTGACGTTTTTCATACCAATTGTTAGTCCATTATTTATACACTGAATTGACCACGGATTTTTTCTGTTATTTCCTGATTATGACAACGAGCACACAGCGGGTGTGACCGGTCGGCAGGGGATGCTCACTCCTCCATGGCACCTGATCCAACCTCTGAGGTTTCGGAGGTCCGTGTTTGCTCTGCTCTTATTTTGTATATTTGTTTAATGGACGTTGAGATTGAATACTGTTCGTTATTTCCATATCCTTCTTCTACAAGCCCTGTTAATGTATTAGTTTTCTAGCAGCCGAAGGCTGGTGGCCGAGTCGCGAAGTGACGAAGGGGGTAGTTGCGGGAGGGGGTTTCCCCCTCCTGCTGGTGGGGGTACGGAGGGCCTCCCAGGGCTCGACATTAATGCTTGTCCGGTACCAATGAAAAAATATTTAGGACAAGTGAATATTGCTGGACACTTGTCCGATTGGACAAGTGATTTTTCTATGTAAAGAAGTCTTCAAAAATAATAATTTAAAAAAACTATTGTAAAGTTTATCGAATATAAACGGAATCATTACATAAACCTGAATTTCGATCCCGATATCAAACGCTATGTAAATTCACACTTGATCGGGATCGATGTTCACTAATTGCAGCCATACTATTGCATGGTGTGGATCTTACGACGTTTGCGAGTTTGGAATATATTTGATTGATATAACAGATTCACTCGCGAACATTTATGCTATTGTCAGTACATGAAGTCTTGATAAAATTTAGTTTTATATGCGTTTGTATTATTTATCAATGACAACACTTATAAATCAAGCACATTTAATTTTTCAATTGTTTTCAAGTTGACATAACAAGACATTCATTGAAAATTTTCGGACAAGTGAAGTTGAAGTTCAGACAAGTAAATATCTAGGTCACTTGTCCGAATGGACAAGCAGGAGAAAAAGTTAATGTCGAGCCCTGCCTCCCCCGGGAAATTTTGAAAATAGAGATGCCAAATCCTGCATTCTGGCTGTTTTTGGGGTAAAAATTATATGTCACCGTATGATTGTACCCTAGACATTTTTCTGTTCGAAGAAGTACACATATATAATCATTTAGGGTATTTCGAATCACCTTTAAATTTTACAATTTTGACATACAAAAATAATAATTATGATGATAAAACATGTTTGAAAATAGATTTGATAATTATTAGATACATTTGTTGCTCTGAGTGAGTACTTAGTAAAATTCTTAGTAGCCCTGCAGGGCAAGTTTAAAGGCATGTTTGGTAGCCTGACCTCAATATTCAGTTGTCCCGGGCCAGCGGGCTACCATTAGTGTCGAACCCTTACAGCTAATGCAAAGTAAACTAATGCGAATTAAAATTTTACTTCGACAGTCAGGCATGGGGAAGGCTATTATGACGTCATTTGCAAATCACGTCATCTTATGCTTAAGCAGATGCATTTGACGTAATGTCACAGTGTCTGGAGACATATTTTAGTGATTAACACATTTTTTTCTTATTTTTTCAGTCAAAAATATCACAAGTACTTAAAGTTGACCACCGACATGACGCATTTAACTTAATTTTGCCATTACGCATGCCCCAAAATTTAATTCGAATTAGCTTCGCTTAGCGATCACACGGAGCTAATGCGAAGTTATTTAATGTGCAGTAAACTAATGTGAAGTAAACTAATTCGCATTAAATTCTCCGTGTGAACGCTAAGCGAAGCTAATTTGCAGTAAACTTACGTTTAATTCGAATTAAACTCTCCATATGAACAGGGCATTAATTTTACTTGAATGGGATTTGATCGCGGTTTTTTTCATTAGATATAGTTTAATTTGCATTGTAAAATTCAGTTTTATTTTTTTAACCTAAAATGATGCTTAAATTTATAAGTAAAGGACCTGTGCGAAATACGCTCAAAATAGCAGGATCGAACGTCCTTAAGAGAGGGTGAGATTCCCAAACAATTATAAGTGTTCTTTTTGTAATTTAAATTGAAAATTGTAGGATATTAGGAGACAAAATTAAATATTGTGTTCTTCCTGTATAATAAAAAAAAATTAAATTCTTATCTGCCGATCTATATTCCGTTAAGATTTTTTTCATACCATAAGGCATTTAGAATGAAATACACTCATGCCACCATTTGGATTATTTATTGTCAGAGTCATACCCCCACACAGAGCCTCAGACCAGGAAATGACCGGGTTCCACGCTAAAGATTACATTGACTTCCTGGCTTTACTCAGTAAACAGAGCGACGAGGAAAAATATGAAAAAGAGAGTGAACAGTATGGCCTCAGTAAGTGTCTCTAATAATTAACCTTTACCTTATATTTAACACAGAATTTTTAAAATAAAAAAAAAATTCACTTTCACTAATGATGTTTATTAAGAAATAAATAATGAATGATTTTTTTACAAGTAATATAAACCAATAACTACTCTAAAACTTTTTTTTACCTAGTGTTCATATATTATAGAACACATTTTGTAGTAATAAGCATTAAGCAGTGTTTTTAATTACAAGCAGACATGGTAAAATATTGTTTACATATATTGGATTTTCTTCACTTTACCACTGATATACTCAGCCACAAAGAGCTTGTCTCTGGTGTCTACACATAAACCACATGGATACTGTAGATTACAGTTATCAATGTAACGGAGGAACTGTCCATCCTGATCTAGGATGTGGATACAGTTTTTACAGTCTGCTGTCAGGATGTGACTCTGGCTGTCTGTTGTGATGCCGGCTGGATGAAATGGTCCCTTGGTCATAGTAGAGGGATGACCAGTGTATCTAAATCGGAGTTTTCCTGCCTGATTAACCACCACTACTGCACCGGCACCATTGTCAGCCACACAAATATCCAGGTTCCTGTTCTCCCTGATGTATTTAGCACGGGTATTAGATGAATACAGAGGTTTACCTTCACTATCAAGCTGAATGGTTTGTTTCTCTGTGGAGCCAGAGTAACGGACAACTTTTGATTGTTTATCATCACGGACCATGGTAACCAGTAGATCACCAGAGGAGGTACTACAGACATTGTAAGGTGCCCACCCCTGTAGTCTGATCACTTCTTGTATCTGTTTATTCTTCACTATGTTTACAGTTCTTGTAGCAGGGTCAGTATATACTAGATCTCCACTCCTTGTCACTGCTATGTCACGAAGCCAGTTCCCTGACTTGGTTTGGATTGACTTCAGTAGTTTGCCCTGGAGGTTGTAGAGTTTCATGACTTTGTCATCTCCACGTGTCCAGATTTCTTCATCACTGAGACAGGTAACACTGTATAGATATTTATACCCAGTGTCTATGATGGTGATGAGCTCTGGTTCATCAAGCAGTGGTTTGACTGGAGGACAGGATACAGCTTCTGGTGTCTTCATTATGTAGCCATTTTCTTCTGTTGTAATGGATAATGCTGACAGAGAACCAAACATTTGATGGAGCTGTTCTGTGTTGATCTGATGAGGAGAGAAACTTGGTAATGAAACATTGACTTTAGGAGGTAAACTTCTGAATTCAGCATTCCTGGATTTGTATGCAGAAGTTAGGGAGACATCATTGGAATCCAGTATTTTCTTCAGATCAAGTATGCTCTCTTTTACATCAGACATAATATGTTTAATTTCTTTTTCTTGTTTATTTAGAGCAGCCAGGTGTTTAGTTTTCATCTCATCAATTTCAGATTTCTGTTTGTTGACAATGATGTTAATTTCTCTGTGCCAGTCTTCTCCTTGTTTGGTGACAGCTGTTGTCAGTTTCTCATAATGTTTGTCCAAGTTGACTTTTTCAGAGTTCAAATCTAATGAAATTTCTTCATATGAAGGATATATTCTTTTTTCTAGTTCTTTCAAATCCTTGTTTAAAATTTCTTGAATGAAGCTGGGATTCTGTAAGACATCTGTTAATTTATGTCCATGATGTTTATCAGAGGCGATGCAGGTAGAACAGAGAGGAATGTCACATTTTTCACAGTAAAGTTCCCAATGTTTCTGGGTGTGGTTTGGACATTTTGGGTAGTTTGGAGAAGTTCTGTGTTTGTATGGTACAATTTTGTGTCTTTTAGATGAATCTGATAGATGCTCCCCAACACAGACTATACAGAGATTTACATGACAAAGTTCACAATGACTCTGTAATGCTGCTTTTTGACACAGGTCACAGAGGAGGATGACTTGGGCACTGTAACGGGGGTCCATTATAATCTTCTCACATTCAAGTACACTTGATGCTGTAAAATAGATTTAACTTTGATCATATATTTCTAGGATTTTATTTACATATCCTGTGCAAACTGAAATGAAATTATTTAGTAAAATGATAAAAACATTCTGTGACAAGAAAACATGTGTGATGATAGTCATGGTAATACTAAATAGGTGCTTTTCATGTATGAAATGTCCTCAAGGATGAAAATCATTCATAGAAAGAATTGAAATTAAACAAGGAGGATATGCTAGTTTTCAAAAAGGTCATTTCTTTCTTAGATTTTTGTTTATTCCATGTTCAGACCTGAAACTTTTTGTTGTCATGAAAATTAAAACACTCTCACAGGGTAAATTTTTTAGGATCCGTTTTAAATTTGAACATTGACAAGATGGTAACATGTAAAACTTTTGTTAGAACTCAATTTCCTGTTGACAAGTTTATCGCAAATCTCGCTTAAAAGTATAACACTCCAGTCGAAATAGCGTTGCCTCGAGTATTGATACTATTGGATTTGTCAGTTGAACAATTTGAATCACGGATTGCATTCTATAAAACAAGCGCTTTAATTGGTTGATTAGGACCCGCCCACTCTCGTGCAGTATCATTTGCCTTTGTAAGTTGGAAAGCGTCCAACGGCCTTGTGATAGTCGAAATCTGATGGTGACTTTTTGAGAAAAAAAAACAACAAAGACTTACTATGAAATCATTTATAGCATGTGACATATACCTATCGCAGACTGTACATGTATATCGTTTGATGACAAACACTAATTTCATTTTATTCTACATGTTATTCTGCCGATTTTCTATTCACGGCATTTTCAATTTTCGTTGGTGCGAATTGAAAACGCGTACATGCGAAGAAAACATATCCACCCGTTGAAAAAATATAAATTTATATGTGGTAAAACATCGGATTAAATTAAAAGCTAACTGTTTTGTTGTCTCGAGTATCAAAAATACCATGTTTCAAATGTGTGTGTGCACTGCATACCTATTTTGATTGTCGTCATGGCAATATTTAAACTTGCGATCTGGAAAAAAAACCCGAAATCCTTGTGCAGTGCACTTTTTACTGTAATGGCGAATATAATTTATATGTTCACTATAAAATAATTAATATCACTTACATATACCAAAACTAAGTACGTTTAATTTTATTGATCATGTTGATACATGTACTGAAGAAAAAATGGGGAAAACGGCCGTGTTTTTCAATCGCCAAAATATTTTGGTAATTGAAAAACACGGCTGTTTTCCAATCGCCAAAATATGCCCCTGGTGATGTGTATCATTTTGAAGCCAGTCCTGGGATAGATATTATTTGAAGATCATTAAAGGTTACCCACACTCACAATAATTTCATAAAATATTGTCCTCTGAATACTTCGCTCAGTAAAGGGGACCTACCACTTGGTTACAAGTTTTCTAGAGCTGTCTTTCTTGGAAACATTCCATGAGAAAGTGGGCGGGCTTATAAAAAAGCACCAATCAGATTCTTTGTTGCATTGTATAGTTTGAATATAGCCGAACTGAATTGTAAAACTGTTAAATCCAAATGTGTCATCACCCAACGCAATGCTGATAAAGTCAAAGTGTATACTTTTGTGCGAGATTTGCGATAAAGGTGAAGTATAAGATGCATATACATGTACCATGTATACTTATATGTGACCTCAAAACCCCATGCTGAGACCATCACTGTGCATGTATCCAGTCTTTTTTTTTTTAAGTATAACTTCACACACAAGTAGAGTTCATTAAGAAACAGAAACTTGTACAGAGTTGTTTTTTATTTCAAAGACAATTGTTGCTAGGATTGCTAAAAATAGAAATTTCTTTGAATGAAATGCTTGCACAGTGGTTAGAGCATCTCCCCCAGTGTCGCAATGTAAGGAGTTGATTCTCACATTGCAGGTTGGAATCCCATTGTGGGACGTGGAGACCGGTCCCTTGAATGAGAGCATGTAAACCAAGGTCAAGTGTTGAGTAAGCTGCGGGCACAAAAACACAGTTAACCGGGTACTCGTTGACATCCCTAGTATCAACATATGAGTATGATAAAAAATATCTTGAATGATGAGCTAAACACTCATTTAAGAAAAGTTAGGTCAAGGTCGAATGAAAGGTCAAGGTAAAAAAATGTAAATGCAGTTGTATATCTCATCAATATCTATCATCCTATGAAGTTTGATGAAGTTTTAGTTTATCAAACTTTATATGCTGATACATACTGATGAGAGCTACTCAACTGCATCAACATTTTAACCTTGACCTTTCTGTTGAAACTGAACTTTGAACTGAGCTAAACGCAAAGTGTGACAGAAGGACGGAAGACTGACATAACAAACACTATATGCCCCTGCCATATTTATGTTGGGCATAAAAAAATTCTAATTTGTAAGGAATATTAAAGACAAATAAAAGGAAATGTAAATATTATTAGCTCACCTGAGCGAAGACTCAAGTGAGCTTTTCTAATCAAAATTTGTCTGTTGTCTGTCGTTATTAGTCATTGTCGTTGTTAACTTTTTACCTTTTCATCTTCATCTCAAGAACCACAGGGCCGATTTCAACCAAACTTACCACAAAGTATCCTTTGGTGAAAAGGGTTCAAGTTTTTTCAAATGAAGGGCCAAAGCCTCTTCCAAGGGGAAATAATTATGAATTGATGAAAGATTGATGGCGTCTTTTAAAAATCTTCTTCTAAAAAACCATTGGGCCAAGGAAAGATAAAACTTATGTAGAAGCATCATCAGGTAGTGTAGATTTAATTTTGTTCAAATCATGAACCCGGGGGGGGGGGGGGGGGGGGGGGGGTACATGTAGGGCATGGCCACAATGGCTGATCACAGGTTTAAGTAGGAATATATAGGAAAAATCTTGTAAACTCTTCCTCTCCAGAACCACTGGACCAGGAAAGCAGAAACTCATGTGGAAGCACTGTCAGGTAGGATAGATTCAATTTTGTTCAAATCATGACACCCCCCCCCCCAGGGGTTTGGCAGGGCCACAATGGCTGATCACAGGTTTAAGTAAGAATATATATGAAAAATCTGAACGATCAAAGATTTACAAAGAATTATATAGGAAAAAACTTTCCTCCAATCCATTAGTCCAGGAAAGAGGAAACTTATGTGAAAACATCCTCAGGTAGTGTAGATTCAAGTTTGTTCAAATCATAATCTCCCAAGGATAGGGAGAGGTCATAATGGCGGATCAAAGTTTTACATAAGATTACATAGGAAAAATCTTCTCAAGATCAGCAAAGCTATGATTTGTGAAATTAATATGGAAACATCCTCAGAGTTCATTCAAGTTTGTTCATATCATGACCCCCGGGGGGTAAGGTTAGGTCATGATTGGCAATCAAATCTTTACATAGATTTATAAAAGAAAAATCTTTAAAACCCTTTGTCTCAAGTATGGTGAAATTATACATGTATGCTTTATTAGTCCCCTACCGGTGAAACCGGAGGGGACTGTAGGTTTCCTCTGCGTCCGTCCGTCCGTCTGTCTGTCCCACTTGGTTTTCCGCACTTTTTTTCTAAACGCTGGCAGATATTGTGCTGAATTTTGGTAAGTGGGTGTATCTTTATGAGTTACAGATCAAGTTTGAAGATCGTTGCGATTCAATGATTTTTTACGGAATTACGGCCTTTTCAATTTTTCAGGGTTTTCCGCATTTTTTTTCTAAACGCTTGTAGATATTGAGCCGAATTTTGGTATGCCAGTTTATCTTGATGAGTTACAGATCAAGTTTGAATTTTGCATAGCTTCATTGATTTTTGACAGAATTATGGCTTTTTGAATTTTTTACATTTGTTTAATTAAGATCGGGATGTGGATTATTAGTCCCCTACCGGTGAAACCGGAGGAGACTATAGGTTTCCTCTGCGTCCGTCCGTCCGTCCGTCCGTCTGTCTGTCTGTCTGTCCGTCTGTCTGTCTGTCCCCGTCAGTCTGTCCCACTTGGTTTTCCGCACTTTTTTTCTAAACGCTTGCAGATATTGAGCTGAATTTTGGTACGTAAGTGTATCTTAATGAGTTACAGATCAAGTTTGAATTTCGTTTTGCTTCATTAATTTTTGACAGAATTGTGGCATTTTGATAATTTTTCATTCTCACTTGGTTTTCCGCACTTTTTTTCTAAACGCTTGCAGATATTAAGCTGAATTTTGGTAGGTGAGTGTATCTTAATGAGTTACAGATCAAGTTTGAATTTCGTTTCGCTTCATTGATTTCTGACAGAATTATGGCATTTTGAATATTTTTCATAATCGCTTAATTAAGATCGGGTTCGAACTGCGCTAACTTCCGATTGTCGACAAAAATATGAAGCGAGGAAAAGACGATGGATAAATGAGTTGAATTGTCGTCTTAATGTTTATTATTTTATTAGATTTAAGGCATTTACAACTTGAAAATCTTTCAGTTTAACCTTGGACATGACTTTTGCACATTAAAAAATGGCATCCTGAAGAAAAAGGGGAACCCGGTAGGGGACATGTATTGCTTATGCAATACTCTCAGAATGCTTGTTTTAATAGGTTTAATGCATTCACAAAATAAAAATCATGCAGCTTTACCTTGGACATAACTTTTGCATGTTATAAAATGACATCCTGAGAAAAGGGGGAACCCGGTAGGGGACATGTATTGCTTATGCAATACTCTCAGAATGCTTGTTGATATGGTGACATTCTCAAGTAATAAAAACATCAAATGCCCCCTCCACCAACAAGTAAACTTTTCAATACTGAGCTGATTTGTGTTTTTTAAAAAGCCTATGTGCTCAGGTGAGGGATGTGGCCCATGGGCCTCTTGTATTTTAAACTACAGGTAACTCTTGATGGCTTGAACTTCGTTCTCTCGAAGTTCTTGATCGCTCGAAGTGAGTCTCCTGTCCAGAGACTTAAATTTACTCTTGATTTCTCGAACTCTTGATCTCTCGAAACCCTTGATCTCTCGAAGTAAAATTGCAGTCCCGCTGTGCATATT